GTCTATAGTCTAGTCTATAGTCTAGTCTATAGTCTAGTCTATAGTCTAGTCTATAGTCTAGTCTATAGTCTAGTCTATAGTCTAGTCTATAGTCTAGTCTATAGTCTAGTCTATAGTCTAGTCTACAGTCTAGTCTATAGTCTAGTCTATAGTCTATGTATGTATGTATGTATTGTAAATTACTGACACATAAATTCAATAGGACCAAAAAGAAAAGTTGGCATCACTAGCACAACTGCATCATATTAAACGGTTTATGGAAGTATAAAACATAAAATATATTTTAATCCAAGAATTCGCATGTCATATCAATAACGATTAATTGTAATTGTAATTTTTACAGGCTCAAACACTTATAAACTTTAATATCCGCACATATCGAGACATACATACATTCATACGGATATTTACAAAATACTCATCAGAAAAATACCCTTGATAAAGAAAGTGTAGAAGTACGAAAGCAAAGATAATTAAAAGAAATTTTTATAAGATTTGAATTTGGCACAATTGTCCATTGTTGAATTTCCTATTTGGCCTTAAAAATAAATATGTATGTGTGTGTGTGTATGTATACTATTGCTCTTACAAAACTGTAAAAAGTATTTACTCGTGCTGGTTTGCTTAAGCAAAAAAAAAAAAAAATGGAGAAAAATGAAAATAATTGTTCAAGTATGGATGAAGCAAACAACAACAATAACTACACAGTCACAAGTCGTAACTGGCAAATACTTGTAGTTTTTTTTTATGGGATAAAAAAGAAAATATAATGGTTAGCATAACAATTAACCCAAAAGTTCAAAGGTCAAACGCACAGAAATTTATATACAATTTAAAAACTATACTAAAACTGTAAACTGAATATTAAAATTAAATTTAGAAGAATACTTACATACATACATATTAACAAAATATACATATGTACATATATTTACAACAGTAGTTTAAGGAAATGTAGCGTCATTTGTTTCTGGAATAAAACTTAAATTGGAGTGTATTCTAGGATTGTTATCATGGTTCTAATTTCGTTAAGCTATTAAAGACTCTTTTCTATAGACATTTTTGATACAATACATTTTTAGAAAATTGTTCTGCAAAAACATTTTTCTACAAAGAACTGTTCTGTGGAGATATTTTATTTTATAGAATATTGCTATGCGAAGACAGTTTTCTATTTCGACAGTTTTCTAAAGCAAATTGTTTTATGATGACTGTTTTGTATAGGAAATTGTTCTATGAAGACAGTTTTCTATAGAAAATTCTGTCTTGTTCTGTTAAGACAGTTTTTTCTAGACCATTTTTCTATTAGGACAGTTTTATATAGAAAGTTTTTCTATGAAGACAGATTTCTAGTTCTGTGAAAACAGTTTTCTATAGAAAATAGTTTTATAGAATTCTTTGTGAAAATAATTTTCTATAGAAAATTGTTCTGTTAAGACAGTTTACAGTAGGAAATAGTTCTACGAAGACAGTTTTTTTACACAATATACTTCTTGAAGACAGTTTTCTATAAAAAATTCTTCTATGAAGTCAGTTTTTTCTAGAAAACTTTTCAGTGATGTCTGTTTTCTATAAGAAATCGTTTTTGCGAAGACAGTTTTCTTTAGAAATTTAAAGAACAAAGAAAATTCTTCTGCGAAAACAGTTTTCTATAAAAATTGTTCTGTGAATACAGTTTTCTCTAGAAAATTGTTCTGATAAAACTGTTTTATATAGAAATAAGTTCTGTGAAAACTGTTTTATATAGAAAATTGTTCTGTGAAGACAGTTTTCTATAGGAGACAGTTTTATACAGAATAAAATACTTCTATGAAAACAGTTTTCTATAGCAAATTCTGCCATGAAGTCAATTTTCTATAAAAAATTATTCTGTGATTACAGTTTTTTATAGAAAATTGTTCTTTGAAGATATTTTTCTATAGAAAATTGTTCTGTGAATGCAGTTTTCTTTAGGAAATTGTTATACAACAACAGTTTTCTACAGAAAATACTTCTACGAAGACAATTTTTTATAAAAACTATAAAGTCAGTTTTCTATAGCGAATTATTCTTATAGAAAATTCTTATTCTTATAGAAATTTCTATATGAAATAGTTTGGCGAAGACAATTTTCTATAGAAAATTGTTCTGTGATGGCAATTTTCTATAGAAAATTGTTATGCGACGAAAGTTTTCTACAGAAAATCTTCTATGCAGACAACTTTCTATGGAAAATTATTCTGTGAAAACAGTTTTCTATAGGAAATTGTTATGCAAAGACAGTTTTCTACAGAAAATCTTCTAAGAAGACAATTTTCTATGGAAAATTCTTCTGTGAAAATAGTTGTTTATAGAAAATATTTCTGTAAATATTGTTTTCTATAGGAAGTAGTTCTCTGTAAACAGTTTTTTATACAATTGTTTTGCAACGACAGCTCTCTATATAATAATCTCGAATATATGTTTTAAATAGAAAAAGTTTTCTATAAAAGAAAACTGTCTGAGAAACATAACAGCTTTTTAATGGAAATTGTTTTGCAAATATATTTTCTTTATAGAAAACTTGTCTGTAATGTCAGCTTTCTATAGAAAATTGTATTGCAGAGACGATTTTATATAGAAAGTTATTCCGAGTTAGCGGTTTTTGAAGCAAAAGAGTTTTGGGAGACAGTGTTCTATAAAAAACTTTTTTCTTTAGAAATTTATTTTAGGAAACAATATATTTTGTTTCCAAATAGTTTTTTCTGTAGAATACTATTCTAGGAAGACTCTTCTACATAATAATGAATTAAATTTTGTATTGTGTTTCTTTACACTTTTCTATGTAAGATACGATAATTTTGGGTATTTCACAAAAATATTTGATTCTTTTAGGGACTGTATAAGAACGCAACATGAATACAAATGTTTATCCTACTTCTTAGCTGAAAAACATCCGAACGAAGACATTAACTGCCGGAATCTTCTATATACGAACGTTCACAAGTAAATGTTTAGAATATGATATTAGGGTGGCTCCGGAATATAAAAAAAGCAAAAAATTAGTTTTCTGGTCCTCATGGTGAGTTAATTACAGAAATTGTCATCATAATGATCTAAATTGAACAAAAACGTTTATCTCTAGGATTATGATGACTTATTTTTTGTTCCTTTATGGCAGTTTCTTCTCTCTCTCTCTCCCCTAATCGCTTTCGATTTGCTTTGTCATATATAAAGAAAGAATACATGTTTAGGTGACAGTTTAAACTGAAGCTTCTTGGCTAATAAGTTCCTTTATAATTATGAGAAATAGGGAACAAGTCGGTTTTAGTGACATTTCTCAAAAAAAAAAAAAAAAAAAACAATATAGAGCGTTTTGAGACGTTAAAGGATATAATTTTTTTTGTCGGCCACGCCTAGTTTCGAGTGGGCGGGGCTCCAAAGTTTAATACATTTGTGTATATCTCGAAAACTGTTTTGTTTACAATAAAATTAAAGGTATCATACCTTTCCAATGATATATAACATGATACTAAAATATGGACCGACTATGGGTATTTCCCGGAAAATATATATTTTGACCCGACTTTTTTTTTCATCTAAAAGAAATCGGATAAAATGTCTATATAATTCTATTATAAATTTCTATATATTAATAGCCAATGAATTAAGCTTTTATTTAAGGTATAAACCATTTCTGTATCTAATCAAATGAAAGAGATATTTGATTTCAAAAACCATTTATTTTATAATTTAATTTACATATCATCAGAGTTGTCAGATTCCCCTGATGAAGACATTTAAAAAATATTTTTTGTTTACACGGCTTTCTTTGCTTAATAAAGATTTCCTAAATAGCCGGCCTACGGCCGGGCGCAAGAATTTTCTCCTCTATGGTATGTCCAACACCGGCTTCGCTTAATAAAGATTTCCTGAATAGCCGGCCTACGGCCGGGCGCAAGGATTTTCTCCTCTATGGTATGTCCAACACCGGCTTCGCTTAATAAAGATTTCCTAAATAGCCGGCCTACGGTCGGGCGCAAGGATTTTCTCCTCTATGGTATGTCCAACACCGGCTTCGCTTAATAAAGATTTCCTTAATAGCCGGCCTACGGTCGGGCGCAAGGATTTTCTCCTCTATGGTATGTCCAACACCGGCTTCGCTTAATAAAGATTTCCTTAATAGCAGCGCAAGGATTTTCTCCTCTATGGTATGTCTAACACCGGCTTTGCTTAATAAAGATTAGTATACATACGTTCTTTTTCTTAATAGCAAAATCAACATTAAATTATTAATATCTCAGGAACTATAATACTCATAAAAACATATTATACCTTAATAAAAAGCTCAATATCTTGGCTTTTAAACAATATAATTTATATACATACCTATAAAGGCATTTTTTCCCGATTTTTTAGATAAACGTCATTTCACTCACAAACGAACTCTCTATTAGTGGTAAATTTTCGACGTGATTTGAAAAATGTCACTAAAACCGACTTAAGCCAGAAATAGTTATTTCGAACCACCCTACTAAACATACAAAGTATCCAAAGTAAAGTGGTTACCACCGCAGGAGACAGTCTGACACGCCAGGCGACATAAAACGTGATTTTGTCAACTTGAACATAAGCGAAACAAAACGAGCGAAAAAACACATAAAATCTACAAAAAATAAAGAGGTGAAATGTAAAAGATTTTGCCCAATTAAGAACATTGAAATGGGCCTGATACATTAGACGACCATAAACCGGAAGCACAAATATACCAACCAAGTGAATTCGTTTAAAGCAAAAGTTTATTGACAATTTTCTTACGTTTTCTTGTTCCCCCTTGTTTTGGTGTTGGTAGCAAGAGTGGTTATAAATTTAGGCCATAATATCAATGGTTTCCTAGAGTTCCAAAAACGAAGAAAATAAACAGATTTAGAAATTTATGTTTATGTGCAATATTGAGATTTTTGTTTTATTTTTTTTTTCTTTCCCTGCTTCATGAGTAATAAAATTGTCAATTTTTTTCTTCTTCTTGTTATACATTGCAGCCTTTGAAACAAAAGCAGTGCAGCAGCAAACTGACAGAAAAAAACATTAACCATAAAAATATCTAAAGAAATAGTTTACGATGCCGTACGAAACAATGCACCATTCACAGCAACACCATCATCAAACATCCACAGCTAACGGTATGTTCGACTCCTTAAGTTTACAGTTACGCGATGCTGAAACGCGTCGTTCCGAAATCGAACGAGCACATCAAGTAAGTGAAAAAACACTCTTCTCGCATTCATTTAATTTCCTCTCTCCTACTTTCCCCTCTCTAACATTGTATGTTGTCTGTTAATAATTTTCTTTAATTGCATTTAATACAATTGAATTAAATTAATAAGAAATTTCTACCAGATATAACTGAAACTGTTTTGTTTTTTTTTTTGTTATTCCTCTTGTCGTTTCGCATTACAACAGGAAACCTTGGCACAAATTCGTAATCTTAGCAGTTCTGGCGGTCGTCAAGATATAGAAGCCATTGAAAATTTACAATCTCGTGCCAGAGAACTAGAGAAAAAGGTTTGTTTGTGTTTTATCTTGTTTATAATTGAATAATTATATTTATTAATACGCTCTTACTCTTATACAAATGTTTCATCAATCTTTTTTTTCTCTGTCTTTCATCTGTGTAGGCTGCATTGGAAAATGTTCACTGCGAAGAATTACAAATTGAATTATCTGCTGCCATGAAAACGAAATCATCTCGTTCGAGCGGCGTAACAAATATGGGCCAGAATGTTGTTTCGAGTGCCACCGCTACATCGGGTACCAGCACATCAGTTACCTGGGCACCTACAATAGGCCATCATGGCCATCATGATGATCAGGGTTCGGAAATTGATATCATAATGGCCAAAATAGAACAGGCACGTTTATCTCTAGCTAATGTATGTTATTTTCTTTTGTGTGTTTTATTCTCAACTCTCAACTCGTTCGACTTGCATTGTTAGTGATCATCTGTGAAAAACGCTATTTTGCATAATGCTGTTAAAGATCACATCCTTCACAATCCCCTTATTCTTTTCGAATGCAACATTTCTAGGGTTCAACGATGATTATCATTCAAATATATATAATTAATATTATTCAGCTTTAATAAATATTTTCAAGTTCTAAATAATTGATAGTTATTGGAGTCGGGAGTTCAGATAAGAATAGTTGAAACTACCCTGAAATTTCACTAGTTCAACGAAAACTATAGGTGCTATTTTATACGAACAACTCATAGTGTATAGCTAAACAAATCTTGTACGTTATTTGTAAACGAAGAAGCTAAATTTATTCTCGTCTTCAATTTTCAAAGGCTAAAGTTAGAATGACTCATACCTTTTCCTAGAGTTGTCCGAAATGTCTTCAAATGTATGAGAAATGAAAAAAGGCATAATAGCGATCAAATATTCAACTGATCGACAAACATTACTAAAGGATTTGATAATATGTATGAGGGTCCGCTAGCTTGAATAAATTCCTCAAGAACACGTTCCCCTAACATGAATCAATTGTATTGCTGCAGCGAATCAATAGAGTTGGATATCCCAGTATAACTAATAAGCATAGTTGCTTGACGATTTGGTTCGTATAGTATCCATATAGACATCAGAGCACCAATCAGTAGATGAGAGTTGTTTTCCATTTTCGATATAATATACGTACGTGCCCTTTGATGCTCTGACACTTCTTCAATAAAATCAGGGAAAAATTATTATATATAACTATGTGATCAAAAGAAGTTATAAACGATATTCAGGATTGAAGAGTTTCGGATTCCTTTTCAGACATAAGATTCAAAATACTATGGCCACCAACAAAAACGATTAAGTTTCGGAATAAGTCTATAACTAAATGTACAAAGAGGATATAGACGGCAACGTAGAAATGCTCCGACACTTTGTCAATAGAATCGGGGAAGAAGTATTAAATATAACTATATGATCAAAAAAGCTTATAAACGAAATTCAGTACTAGAGAGATTCGGACTTATTTTCAGATATAAGATTCAAAATACTACGGCCAGCACTAAAAACGATTAAGTTTCGGAATAAGTCTAAAACTAATGGGACAAAGAGGATATAGAAACGTTTGAGGACAACTGCCCCTGCTCATGAAAATCTCTGGATAACAGAGCAGATCTGGAACCTTGGGAAGACTCTTCGCAAACTATTTAACCAGGCAGGGCATTCTGTGAACAGGTATATAGCGTAAATGACGTATCAAAGGTAAAAATATTCCTACACAAAATGCAAGTTCTACCAAAATCTATAATCGATGACATGGGCTAGAGGATATGAGACAATGATTCTCCTAATTGACTCTCATTTCCTACCCGGTATATCGGCTAACGTAAATGAACCGATATTGGGGAAAGGGTAGGCTAACACAGCGATAGTTATTACATCCAGAATGGTTAAGGAGGTAATTGAAAGCTTTGTTCCCTATAAAGCTGCAGGACCGCATGGTATTTTCCTGGCACTTTTGCAGATCAAGGCGGGACAGGTTTCATACAATAGTTATCTCATCTGGCATGGTTAAAGAGGTAATCAAGAGCTTTGTTACCTATAAAGTTGCAGGACTTGATGACAAGGGTAATATTTATGCTCAAACCGGAAAACCTAGATGTGCAACACCTAAGACCTATAGGTCGATAAGCCTTACATCCTTCCTGTTTAAAACCTTGCAACGAATAGTCTATAGTATGGTTAAAAGCAGTATATTAGATAAAGACCTCAAGAATAAGCTACATGCTTATATAAAGGAACGATCGGTGGAAACAACGTTAAACTATATAGGTGAATACTTCGACATCAAACTGTATACACTGGCGGTATGCATTGACATAGAAGCCTCCTTTAATAACGTGCAGACTGTTACGGTATCATACATGCTAAGGAACTACATACATTCTAAGGAACCGATCAATAAGCTGCGAGATGTATGATATAACTATCATGAAAGGGGTATTTCGCAGTACACCACAAAGTTGAATTTTTCCCTAAGATTAATAGCTTCTTAAGGATCTTAACCGAGAAACTGCTTAGACCTGAATAGTAAATATTTGGGTATTCCAAAAATTGGAGGAAATTATTGCAGTAGAAGACATTAAGGCAGTTTTCTTATGACGATTTGCCATTTACTTTAAAAAAAAGTATTATTGTGACTACAGACTGAATGTTAAAGAGGTTAAATAGGCAGCCAGCCATTATAAATATCGAGTGGCAAATATCAATTCTGAAGTAAGCAGAACACAGTCAGGAAAAAAGTTATGCACCTTCTGCAAACGTCATTATAGAGGAGATGTAGTCTATTCGCATGGGCAGTACCCTGAAAACAAGACTGTCACTGTCCGCAGCCGTATTCTTAAAAGCCCTATCAAGTTAGATGATCTTTCGAGAGGCAGATGAACCTCGGCAATTCATTTTGTTGAAATCAATTTGATTCATATTTAACTGATCTTCTTATGATGCGATAGTAATTTGATAGTAATATAAATAGATGTGTGCCGATTAGTTTGAAATAGGTCTGCACTTACTTTGTAGCACTCTCATGCATAGATAACTTTGCAAATCTATAACAAATACGTTTACACTTTTACTAATCCCAACATCTTCGGCACCTACTTGATAACTACTTATATAACTGGAGTATAAAACTATTAAAACAAAATACTAATAGTTGAAGAACAATTACAGTTATGAAATTTTAAACAACAACATCAGTTTTTCCCCTTTTCATGGCACTCATTCTGAGCCCCGCAATACTATTCTTCAATTGTAGAAAAACATGAAATTTCATTAATGGGAACTTAACAGAAGATCACATAAAGTTTAATTTAAACATTTAATTTTTATTTCCTTACTCTTTAGGATAATCGTGTTTTGGCCGAATTAGAAAATCCTAGAACATCAGCTGGTCACTCATCCATGCCCACAAGTTCCATATTGAATACAACAAATAGCGAATTTAAAACCATATCAAAAACAGGTAAATGAAGTGCAACAATTGTTATGGATTATATAGAATATAATAATAATTAATTGTCTCTTGTAGAACTTGAAGAAGAACTGAATCGTTATAAGCGCGCCGTGCTTGGTGGCAGTAGTGGGATGTCGGGTGCAGTGGGCAGTAGTGCCTACACCGGTTACTCGTCCGCTTTAACCTCCACTCTACCCAATGGTGGCGGAGGTGTTAGTGGTACCGGTACTACCGGTGTGGTTTCAAGTCATTCGGGTACCACGTCATCCGGACATGGTCCCGGTTTAACATCCATATCGGCCTTGGTGCCAAATTCAATCGGTGGCATTTCCTCAAGTCTCAGTAGTCATGCTATAACGGCTGCCTCAGCATACGGAGCGGCCGGAAGTGGTGCTGGCACATCGGCCGTTGATAAGCTGTTGAGTGGAACAAGTGGAATCACTGGCATTCCACCATTGCCGGTAAATATTCATACGATGAAGTCTATGCCATCAGCATTAAGTCAGGTAAACTAAACAAATTCTTAAACATTCAAACAAAATACATTTTAGAACTGGTTCCAAATGGCCAGTTACTTTTACATTCCACCCGTTAAATGATCATTTAGGACATTTTATGTATAACCATAGCTAATAACATTATTAACATTTAACATACTAACAGCTAATATTCGCTACTAACATTTTATATTGTTCTCGTGCAGATTTAAATAGTTTCAACGTTCCATGAATTTCATTTGTAAATTGAAACATTTTGATTTTCAGACTTGTATTTGGAATTTGAAACAAGGTTTTTGTTAAAAATGTCTGCTTCAATTATTTTATTTTCTTAATAATATTTGTGGTTGTTTTGTCTAAATTTTATTAACTTTTTATGTTTCGGCTTTTTTGCACGTTTATGTTTTCGTTTTTTTTTTACTAATTACGTGTCAACATTTTTACAATAAAGATTTATCTCCAAAAAATATTTACTTGCACTTTTTTAACAATTTTGAAATGACTATGGTTTTGAAATAAGTAGTTGGCATCATTGCCTCACTATCTATTGTGAAATGATCAAATGATAAAAATGCCCTCAAATGCTTTGGAATATCGTTCACTTAAATGATTAAATTAAAATTTTTAATATTTGATAATATCAAAACGCTTTTGAATATTCCGCAAAATCCATCAGAAATAATGTTCTGAAAAATTTTAATAAAAAATCCCAGATATTTCCGAAGAAATACACTTTTATCGGACCTGTTGTACGAAAACGGTGTTGGGAAACAATATTATGTAGTGCTTAATAAAGGTCCAATCCAAAGTAAATTAATAAAGTAGCATCACTTGAACAGCTGACTATTTTTTTTAAACTAGATAAATGAAGCAAATTGTCAAAGTTTGTTTTGAAAATTGTTAACATTGTTTACGTCGCCATTTTTAAATTGTGTTTTGCTATTTGTTAAAATTTGTGAAAAAGTGAATTAAAAGTGGTTTTAAAGTAGTTTAAAAGTGTAATAAATTGTATAATATATAATAATATAATTAAATCGTTAATATCTTTAACTTAAAAGTAATATTTTTTATTTATGTTTTGTTCACATTGTTTTTCAAGGAAATTTTATTTTGACACAATCTTAAATTTTCCAAAAACAAAATACATGTGGTTGTTGTAGATGTTGTTGTACAACAAGAGATGTCGCTACTTTATTAATATACTTTGGTCCAATCGTTCAATGTTCAGAAACTCTGTTTTATTTACGTAGTTCCTTTGAATTTTTGATCTCAACATATCTTATATGGGTCTAATATCGAGGAAAGTCCAATAATCACAAAAGAAAATGTTCCAGCGATTCACTACCCTCTTCGCATGCTTAACATTTGTCTGAATCAGTCCCCCACTTTTATAAAGTAATGTCCCCAGACTTATTCATTCTAAAGATACTTCTCGTCCTTCTTTCTTTGGGGTCACTGCGTAAGACCATGTCTAATATCGAATCAGTCTGAATCCAATCGTTCGATGTTCAGAAACTCTGTATTTACGTAGTTCCTTTGGATTTTTGATCTCAACATATCTTATATGGGTTTAATATCGAGGAAAGCCCAATAATCGTAGAAGAAAATGTTCCAGCGATTTCATACCCTCTCCTCATGCTTAACATTTGTCTGAATCAGTCCCCCACTTTTATAATGCACTCAGACTTATTCATTCTAAAGACACTTCTCGCCCTTCTCTCTTTGGGGTCACTGCGTAAGACCATGTCTAATATCGAATCAGTGTGAATCAGTCCCTCCTCTTTTGTAAAGTTACGCTCGTAACCTCAGACTTATTCATTCTAAAGGGACTTCTCGTCCTACTCTCTTTGGGTCACCGCATATGACCATGTCTGATATCGAGGAAAGTCCGATAATGACAAATGAAAATATTTCAGTGATTCACTACCTCTCAGCATGCTATACATCTGAAGGAGTCCCTCCACTTTTGTATAATTTATGCCCGTTACCACAGACATTTATTCTTTCTACAGATGTTGAGGTCACCGCATAAGACCATATTTTTAATTCAGCTATCTATTTAGCGAACTATTTGCATTTATCGGGTTAAGTAGATTTTGATCAATGTAAAGTAAATATACAATACGCTCTTTCTTGGCTAATAATCACCGAGGGACCTGATATCCATTTGATATAGAGCATACGACAAGAGTCTTCGGCTATTTACACATTCCATGATAGCACGGACATTGGACAAAAGCTAGTATTGGGGATAGAAAAAAGCCTACAGGGGTTTGCTCTAATATTCTACTTCCAACATGAACCCGGAGCATTTTGTCACTTTCAACAACATGGTGAGCTAGATACGATAGATAGATCCACTCCAGCTTCCTTGTGATCCCTAAAAAACACGTATGGAGTTATTTTTGTACATGGCGGACAACGGTCCATGTATATATACTTTGCTTGATTACTTGAGCTGTATAATCTTTGACCAATGCCGCTTCGCGGGACGCCGTTGCCTCACTTTTGTCTACAACTACGCAGATACATAGTTAGTTCATCCGTCAACCTAGATAAGTTATCGGTAGACCGAAATAAGAGTCCATGAAATAAACCAAAGTTCTTCATTACCGGTGACACACTATGTCTGGTATTAACAAAGTAATCCCTGCAGATACCCTGAAAAAGAAGGGAGCATCCATCAGCATTCAATCTAACTCACGACTCTTTCATCTGACACATTCAAACGAGTATACAGATCTATTCATCTTAAGTCATTCGGTGTTTCATTCATCTAACATCAAGTTATTCTCAACATTTAGTACCACTTTTCTGAGGTGGCTCTGAATTGATTTCTCCGTTCATCAGTCTTTAAAGTAACATTCTCTACCCACGATTTGGACTTAACCATAACCACCACATGCACCCCGAAGAGATCTCTCCAATAAGCGGCACAAGACAAAATTCAAAACTCTGCCTTGTAGAACACATGTTGCTTGTGAACCACATGTACCTCTAGTACCAGGTAGATTGACCCTAGTTTATAGTTCTGGCTGACCAGAGGTACTAGTAGCACCTCTTTTCCCTTGGATTACGATATCATCAATCTGGCTGACCAGAGGTACTAGTAGCACCTCTTTTCCCACGGATTGCGATATCACCAAAGTGAGAGCTACTCATCAAGATAACATGCTCCTGGAGGGGTGAATTACCGACAATTTCTATTTCTGGTTTTTGTGTATAACTTTCTAATATGTCCGCCTCGTATTCGATTGGAACGATATGCTCATGAAATCTTTTTGACCAAGGAGTTCATCAGATTACAGAAGTCTAAGTTAGAAGTCGTCTAACTACGTTTCTATAAAGCTAACATGTCATATTTGGACTAATTTCCCATTTTGAGCATAAAGTTGTCCTACAAGGCGTCCAACATTCCAAATCTGTTTTTAAATATGTCTCTTTAACCGCCATTTGCACAATGTCTAGTTATTTTTTAACTGTCAACTCATACAAAAATGTCTTAACTGGAAGAATAACTACCGGCTAAACGATAACTGGAGGTGGTTAAAATGGGGGTAAGAGTTAGAAACGTCATAATAGAAGGTGAAGTCATTTAACAGCTGATTGTTTTTTTGCTCATAAAAATTTTGCTCGAAGCTGTCAAACTCCATATAAAAACAATTCTCTCTCAAAACTGAAATATTTCATGAATTTGCGTTAGAATGTAATGATTTCACCTTATAAATGATACATCTTGGTCATAACTTTTTCAGCTGATATTATAGTAAAATCTCTTAAAAATTTTCAAATTCTTTTTTCCCGAAACGATCTTTTTTTGAGTTAAACCAGTTTTGTATAAAACGAGCGATATGTTTTCATTTCGCTTAATATTTCGTTATTTGTAACTTTCCTACTTTTTTAATGTTCAAAAATTATTTTTATTATTTTTTTTACTATTGTTTTTCTTAATTAATAACATTAAAATTGTAATTTACTTAATGTTTCCTGTGTGTACTTTCGCTTTGAGTGTTTTTCCATGTGCAATTTTTTTTTTAATAAAATCTTTATCTTTAATGTTGATCTGTTTGCATGTTGACAAAATGTGGAAATTGCATTTGGTATATGTTTTGAACAATTGCTATGTTTAAGTAATTTAAAGCAAATATGAATAAATTTTTTTTAACATTTTCTCCAATTACTTTTTAAAGCAAAACCATTAATAAACATGATAAAATGTATTTTAAAATTGAACTTAATTGTGTAATTATCTGCCTAATTCATAAAAAAAATTTGTTTGGAACAGAATAAAAAAATTACATTATTTCCACATATAAATCTGGCATATTTTAGAGTTTCTACGCAGAACATTTCCAGAATGTAACTAGTTCTACTAAAGTTTCATTTATGAATGTATACACTGTATTAAAATCAGAAACGTGATTCATCACTATCAAAAATATGTTCATTTACCTGCGTCATTCCATAGTTACGCGGACTTCCACCTGGAACTAGTGTTGAGATCTGGTTGATGATAAAATAACTCGTTTCTGGGGTATTAATATTGATCCTCCGATATTCGATTGGCAAAGTCTAATATGTTCAGAACTATTTGGTTAATTAGCTCATAAATAAAATTCGCTGTGAGTGTCGTCACGTATCTTTTACGTTTTCCGATGGGGTATAATCCATCAATGTCTTCAGAATCCTTGTTGACGTAGTGCTCAAGGCCCCACTGAACTTCTTGTAGTGGTATTTATAACCTGATGACAAGAGCTATATCCGAAGTACGTGTTCATCAAATAAACCAAAGACAAGTTCTTCACCACCGGTGACACACTGTGCATGGTATTGACTGACTAATCCCTGAAGATATCCTGAGAAAGAATGGAACATCCATCATCATTCAACTCAACTCGCGACCCTTTCATCTGACAGATTTACACGAGTATAAAGATGTGGTATGGTCTGTATTCATCTTGATTCATCATGTATCTCATAAATCTAACATCAACTTATTCTCAACATTCAGTAACACTCCTCTGAGGTGCCTCTGAATTGATTTCTCCGTTCACCATAACCACACTTAAGAGACTTCTTTAATAACCCGCACAAGACAAATGGGCTATAATCCAGCAATGTTTACAGAGTCCTTGTTGACGTAGTGCTCAAGGCCATGAGCTATATCCGGATTTGGTTAATTAGTCCAGGAATAAATGTCGCTGTTAGTGTCGCATATCTAACACGCGTTTCGATGGGGTATAATCCAGCAATGTTTACAGAGTCCTTGTTGACGTAGTGCTCAAGGTCCCACTAATACACAAGAAACATGTATGCTTAAATCCCTGTAGTAGTATTAATATATATAATAAAACTTTTAAAGAAATTCATCTGCATAAATAATTTCGATTATTGCTCCTTAAAAGTTTTACCACCTCGTCGGTGTAGACTTCTCTTAATCTTTTATCGTTTTAGGTCCTTATGAGCCTATTATTCGTAGTTACCTAAGATAATATCGAACAAGTTTTGAGGGGAAAAGACGTTAGTCTAATCTGAAGATAAATCTTTGGTTTCGCATAACAAAATCAAGTTTTGTAAGCGAATTTCTTAATCTTCTATAGGTCATTTCTACGTGTTCATTAAAAAGTTTATAGGAGTCTAATCGAATGATTTTTCTAGGATACTATTTTCGTATTACATCTCTGACAGCTGTAGACTATGCGAAGAAGTTTACAAATTTTTGAATATTACCAGTAACATAGAGTTCGCAGATCTCCACTAATATAGAAGACAAACGTTGTATTCTATGTCCTTACTATTTCGACGTTGAGATGTTTCTATCACTAAACAATTCCTTAATGAAGTCATGCATTGTGTCCAGTTAGGCGTAGACTCATTCTGAAATTTTATTGGTTTCGTTGGTTCCCGGCGTTGGTTGTTTAACGTGGTAGTTCACTGCACGCGAATTGTCAATTAGAATCAAAAAGACTTCGTTTTGACTGGACCACTCTACTCGTCAGATGTAGTATTTATAGTATTAGATGCAGTCTGTAGCTGTGAGAAATCACAGGATATCATTAAGCTTAGACCCAGATATCTCACCAAAGTCGATATGAAGTAACTGCCAAGAAAGTAGTTTCTCTTTACGACCAGAGCAGGGTATATTCACAGAGAAGATGGAAAACCGTTTCTTCCTTGTCCCTGTCCTTGCAACTGCGACTGTGTTCGTAGAATGGGAGTAAGAGCTGACTTGCATGTCTGCCTACCACCCAGCGTCCTGTTATTACTCCTATCAACCTCGATATGTCCCGCCTACTTCGGTTTATAAGGTGTCTTGTGCGTTTCTCAATAACTTGGCCCCTTTATACATATGTGTCTAGGTTATTCCAACCATTTTCAGCCTTTTGAAGAAAGAATCTGAGGATACTGCTCATGATAAAACCTAACGGAGTTGCTATGGCAAGCTCATATGTCTGTTCATTACCATAGTAGTACCTATGCGCAGGGACCCAAACAAGGGTAATGTTAGACAGGCGACCCAACCTGGACAAATCCTTCTTGCATTGTCTAACTAATAGGGAAGTGGTAGTATTAGTGAGAGAAGTGTCGCTTGACTATCGAGAAAGATTCCAATGTTGCCGAAATACGGTTCCCGGCGTATGTTCATCGTTTTATTTTTGACTCAAAACGTGAACCTGCGGGGCATGTTTTCTTGATGAAAGACCCTTATGTTGGTGTATTGCAGCCCCGGGGTAAAGAGGTGCTAGCAGTACCTCTAGTCTGCCGGGACTATAAACTGGTGATGTCACTTCACTCCTCGGCTAGTCCTTGGTCTGATTTGACATGGGGTCTAACCAGAGAACCACATAATCTGGTACTACGGGTGGCCAGTTGCCCACAGGACTTGTCCTGGCTGGTCAGTTGGTTCAGGTTCCATCGGGATCCACGTAGTGGTTGTGGTCTAAACCCAAATTTTTGGAAAGAGAATGTTGGTTTAAGGGCTGATATATCCTATACAAAGTGCGTTGGTTAATTCTCTTTTCAAATGGCACAGGTCTGTTTACAAAGCAGCATATGCTGGATTCCTGAACCCGATCGTTATTTCTTACCGGTCGTTTAGTAGGGAGCCGGTATATGCTGGGGAATTGTCAGGTTAGCGTTCAGTGATTGTCTGTCATTCTGTAGAGAGATCTTTATGATCATGGGAATGGAACTGATGCAACAATTGGTGAAAGATTTGGAAAGTCTCCATATAATGAAGATTAGTACTGATTAGTATGCCTTTTTACGCTTCGGGGAAGTTTCTCGGTGCCGTTGCCATCTCAACAGGATATATTGATTCATGCTAAGCGAATATTTGTCGGGGCAATTATTGGGTTCAGTTGATTTTTATTGGGTTCAGTTGATTTTTGTCACAGATCGGTTCATGAAGATGGATCCTGATTTATTATTTTGGGTATTTCGGGCTACCAAATACGTCTTTAGGTGCTATTGCCAAACCAACAGAAGCCATCTCAGTAGTGTGGTTTGGCGACTTTAAGAGGTCCAGGAATGCACTTGGGTGAATTTTCGGATGATGCGAATGTTTGTAGGGACAGACCATACCTTATAACATCAATAGGGTGTTTTCACCTGATGTTGGGTACGCCCCTTCTATTGACTCTAACCAGTGATTGCCTTTTCCTTTGTCGGGGTTAGATTGAGCTTGCTCATGACTCCTGTCATTCCCCAACGGGGCTACTATGGCAAGAGATTAGATAGCTCGAGTACTACAGCAAAGTGCGCATATAATGGACCGGCATCCATATACATAAATTGCCACCGGCGTGTAAGGAACACAATGGGGAGGTGGTGAGTCGTTATATGTTAGCTCACCCAGTGGATGAAAAAGACCACCGTGAATACACTTAATCGATAGATATTTTTGAAGCAAGGCTTTTGTTCGATATACGTAGATATGATAAAAATGAAATGGTTTTCTTTTTTACTTTAAAAGCTTTTTGCATGTTAAAATTTTACTTTTGAATAAACTCAAAATCTAAATATTTTAATTTAGTTTCCGTTTTGAAAATGTGTGTTTGATTGATTAATATTCCTAAAAAAAGATCTCATCATCTCGTTCAAAAATCATGAGCTTTGTATTGTGTCATTAAGAAAAGCTAAACTGTCATCTGCTTCTCTAAAACTGAAATGTCAAACAAAAATAACAACAACAAAAAAACAACATAGTAATATTAACAATAAATAAAAGTAATAATAAATATTTATGTATGTTATTTACATAAGTTGTCATCAGTTTTTGTTGTTACTATATAACAAACTCTTTCGTTACTAATTCATTATTAATTTTGTAAAAAAAAAAAGATTTAACAAAAAGCAATAATGTATAAAAAACTTAAAAAAGAATTTCAATTTGATTTCTCTTTTTTCCATTTGTTTTTTATCTATATGTGCTGTCATTTTGTTCTCTCTTTTTACTCTTTATATATATATATCTCTCTCTCCCTCTACTCTCTATCTAACTGTAACTTTATTTACGAAACAACGCGTATGAATGATGATGGGGTGGAATGAATAATAAATAATTTCACTCGTTTTCTTTAAAATTGAAACTACTTATTTCAACCATGTAAAATAAACTAACTGTTTAATTTTTCTTGACAATTATTAACAAAAAAATACAACTAATTTATATTAATTAAATTAAAAACAATACAAACAAATATTAAAAATGTTTTTGTCCAACATTATGTCTCTCTTTCTCTAAATGTATATATTTTTATACTCTATATATAATAATAATAATAATAATGTATATGTGTGTGCGTGTGTATCTGTCTATATTATTAATAATAACAACAATAATAATATAAATTATAATAATAATCTCTACCGTAATACGTAATAATAATAACAACCAAAAAATAACTACCATTAACTTCTGTGTGTGTATGTGTCTGTATGCGTGTCTACTAAAAATTTAATAACAAACACAACATCAATTAATATAAACAAAAAAACAATTTGCAAAAAAACTATGAACTAAAACAATTAAAATACTATTTAAATAACAAAATAAAACAAAAACTACTACAACCCAACAACAATTTGATACAATTCTCAAAAATGTGTAAAAAATCATTATTAACTGCCTAAAAATATACTATACTTTTTTACTATATAAAATTATAATTTTTAAACCATTCACTATGATGTTGATGAATAATAATAATAATAATAGCGTGGCACAATACAACTATACAATTTACAGAGCACAACTATGCCTATACTCTCGCTGAACTCGCATAATATACCAACGGGCACCAGCAGCTATTCGGCACTCGGTTTAAGTGGCACGGGCGCCGGTACTGGCGTACCTCCATTGGGTGCTTCGCTGACCCATCCCACCTTAGGCCTGGACACCGGCACACTGTTGGGTACAACGGGCTTATCTGGTCTGGGTACCGGTTTGGCTGGTACTGCCTCACTTTACGGTTTGGGTTCCGGTGTTGGTGGCATTGGCGCTGGTTTGCCAAGCACCTTTGGTCCTCCTCCTCCCTCATATCTGGATATCGGTTCAACCTCCTCCTATCCTTTCACCTCGGCCGCCATACGTAATGCCACGAAAATGAAAATGCTGGATGAGATCGATATACCGTTGGCGCGCTATGGCAATCGCAGTTCACCTTGCTCACCGATTCCACCCAGTACTTGGGGTCTTGATGAATTTCCCGATAGCATGAGCGCCTCAATGATGCATAGTCGTGGCGGTTTAGCTTTAGGACCTATGGACATGGAATGTAAGTACTGTAAATTGTATTGAGTTTTTTAAAGAAAAGTACTAGAAAGAAATTGTGAAATTGTGTGGCTAGAAGTTAGTGGAATATAGAGAGTGCCCTCCTCGTATGAAGAATTCGCTTTTCCTATAAATACCCGCTTGTAAACTTTAATGGCTTTTTATTCTTTAGCTCGCAATCACAATTTAAATGGCGTCAGCGAACCACAGGTTGATATGTTGGACATACCAGGCAAGGGACGTTGTTGCGTATTCATAGCCCGTTTTCCTTATGATCCACCAGAGTAAGTATGTTTCAAAATTTAATGTTAATCGATGGATGGCTATTGTGTAAAGTTTTGTTTAAGGTTCTGGCTATAGGACCGATTATAATATTGACCAGGCATGGAAAATTCAGTACTTTAGTACATTTTACAGCACTTTTTGATATCGAAAAATACTATGGTACCCCCATGGCATTTTCGGTACTATTCTAGTCTATAGTCTAGTCTAGTCTAGTCTATAGTCTAGTCTATAGTCTAGTCTATAGTCTAGTCTATAGTCTAGTCTATAGTCTAGTCTATAGTCTAGTCTATAGTCTAGTCTATAGTCTAGTCTATAGTCTAGTCTATAGTCTAGTCTATAGTCTAGTCTATAGTCTAGTCTATAGTCTAGTCTATAGTCTAGTCTATAGTCTAGTCTATAGTCTAGTCTATAGTCTAGTCTATAGTCTAGTCTATAGTCTAGTCTATAGTCTAGTCTATAGTCTAGTCTATAGTCTAGTCTATAGTCTAGTCTATAGTCTAGTCTATAGTCTAGTCTATAGTCTAGTCTATAGTCTAGTCTATAGTCTAGTCTATAGTCTAGTCTATAGTCTAGTCTATAGTCTAGTCTATAGTCTAGTCTATAGTCTAGTCTATAGTCTAGTCTATAGTCTAGTCTATAGTCTAGTCTATAGTCTAGTCTATATTCTAGTCTATAGTCTAGTCTATAGTCTAGTCTATAGTCTAGTCTATAGTCTAGTCTATAGTCTAGTCTATAGTCAGTCTATTCTAGTCTATAGTCTAGTCTATAGTCTAGTCTATAGTCTAGTCAATAGTCTAGTCTATAGTCTAGTCTATAGTCTAGTCTATAGTCTAGTCTATAGTCTAGTCTATAGTCTAGTCTATAGTCTAGTCTATAGTCTAGTCTATAGTCTAGTCTATAGTCTAGTCTATAGTCTAGTCTATAGTCTAGTCTATAGTCTAGTCAATAGTCTAGTCTATAGTCTAGTCTATAGTCTAGTCTATAGTCTAGTCTATAGTCTAGTCTATAGTCTAGTCTATAGTCTAGTCTATATTCTAGTCTATAGTCTAGTCTATAGTCTAGTCTATAGTCTAGTCTATAGTCTAGTCTATAGTCTAGTCTATAGTCTAGTCTATAGTCTAGTCTATAGTCTAGTCTATAGTCTAGTCTATAGTCTAGTCTATAGTCTAGTCTATAGTCTAGTCTATAGTCTAGTCTATAGTCTAGTCTATAGTCTAGTCTATAGTCTAGTCTATAGTCTAGTCTAGTCTATAGTCTAGTCTATAGTCTAGTCTATAGTCTAGTCTATAGTCTAGTCTATAGTCTAGTCTATAGTATATAGTTAGTCTATAGTCTAGTCTATAGTCTAGTCTATAGTCTAGTCTATAGTCTAGTCTATAGTCTAGTCTATAGTCTAGTCTATAATCTAGAATTTAGTCCAGTTGTTAGTCTATAGGAAAATTTGTTTAGTACTTTAAAACCTAAAAGTTAGTACTATTTCAAAATCTCAATTTTTCCATGCCTGATATTGACTAAAGTTTTAACTATCGTCATGTCCATTGTGCTGATAGTTCTAAATATAGTCCAATCCTGACTATAATATTATTTATAGTCCAGACTAAAGTGTTATCTGTTTTCCTTACTGTTCAAGAGCACTGACTAATCTCAATCTTTTCTAAAGTTTTCACATGAATATAGTCCTGTCTACGGCTCTAACTGTAGTCTTCTCTATCTTGTTTTTAGTTTTAACTATAGTAATGTCGTCACTATAGTCTATTCCTAGTCATATTTCTGGGCTATAATCTTGTTTATAGTAGTTAATATAGTCTGGACAATAATCTTGTTTATGGTCTTGACTATAGGCTTTTCTATGGTCCTGCTTATAGTCTGGACAAGAGTCTTGTTTATATCCTGACTGTGGTCTTGTCTAAAGACCTCAGTGTTCTCTATTGTCTAGACTGTATACTTTTTGATTGTACTGATTATAGTCTTCTCTCAGACTATAGTTTTGTCTGTACTGACTTGTCTACAGTCTAGACTATAGTCTTATTAATAGTTTCATTCTAATCGTATTTGTATTCATTCCAATTTTAAGCAGAGATGCTGAAGGAGAATTATCATTGTGTGCGGGTGATTATCTATTAGTATGGACCAGTGGTGAACCACAAGGCGGTTATTTAGATGCCGAATTACTAGATGGTAGACGTGGCCTGGTGCCAGCTTCATTTGTACAGCGTTTAATAGGTACAGTTGGATTAATCTTCAATTAAATTCAAAACAATTTAAATATCATTCATTTACTTCCACAGGTGATGATCTTCTGGAATTTCATCAAGCCGTCTTATCCACTTTGCGTGATGCCGAAGATGGTTCTATGCAATGTGATTCAACATCATTGCCCTCATTGCCACCGCACAATCCATTGCTCACCCATACCCAAGAGGATTTAGCTAGATTAAGTGAAACTCATACTGATCTGGAACACGATCAAGATGATATTAGTGATAATGGTGAGTAGTTAGGGAAGATTTTCTTAAAAACCATTAATGTTTTGTTGTTTAATATTTTTAAATGTGATTTTTTTGTTTAACATTTTATAATTCTTTTTTACAAAAAAGTAAGCATGATATTTGTTTTTTGAATATGTTTTACTAACCATTTTAAGCATTTTAGGCTTGAAAGCCTTTAAGGCTAGATTTTTCATGACATTCAAGTAGTTTTGAATCAATGAAGTACAGTTTAAATGGTTATTAGTGTAATTCATTATTTTTATGTGATTTTACAAACAGTTCCAGCTCCAAAGCATTTGACATTGGAAAGACAACTGAATAAGAGTGTTTTAATCGGTTGGTCACCACCTGAACCCCTGGGCTATAATTTGATTGATAGTTATCATGTCTATGTCGACGGAGTGCTCAAAGTTACTGTTAAAGCAAATGAACGCACACGTGCTCTTATCGAGGGTGTGGACTCTAATAGAGTAAGTTTAGATTTAGAGTTATTCGTCTAAATAAATATTTACATATTTATTTATCTGTCATACAGCCTCATCGCATTAGTGTACGTAGTGTTGCACAAAATCGCCAACAATCTCGAGATGCTGCTTGTACCATGATCATTGGTCGTGACACTTCACACTTGGGTCCATCGTCTGTGCGGGCTACGCATATAACGTGTTCATCGGCTGTCATCACATGGCTGCCAGCCAATTCCAATCATCAGCATGTAGTTTGTGTAAATAATGTCGAAGTACGCACCGTTAAGCCGGGTGTCTATCGCCACACAATAACCGGTTTGGCACCCAGTACTCAATATCGAGTAACTGTACGAGCCAAACATTTGCGGGCACCCGGTGGCCATCAGCCACCGGGCCGTCCTCAAGAGGAGGCGCCCGGAGCATATGCTGATTTCCGTACCCTCACAAAAGGGTTGCCTGATCCTCCACAGGTTCTATTCCACATGAAATCTATTTGTGTGAAATATTTATTTATATTGTTATTGTTGTTTTATAACAGGATATACAACTTGAGGCTGGTCCTCAGGATGGTACCATTCTAGTGACATGGCAGCCAGTTAATAGGCCCACCTCATCGGGGCCTGTAACCGGCTATTCTGTGTACGCTGATGGTAAAAAGGTAACCGATATCAATTCACCTACGGGAGATCATGCGCTCATCGATATTGGTAAATTGGGTACATTTAATCCCAGAGCCGTAACTATACGTACTAAATCCCGTGAAGCACAATCGGCCGATAGTGCACCCATATTAATACCAAGTAATTTTTAATCTTTTTGATTCCTTAAAAGTTTTATATTAAAAATTTCTGTTTTTTTTTGTCTACAGATTCTGTTCGTAGTGCTGTAGGTAGAAGGGGACCAAATCAAATGGGTATGGGCATGGGTCAACACTTACCCCAGGGGCCTCACGGTCCCATGGGCATGCAACAGCAACAACATATGATGGGTCATCAGGATCCCAATCAATATGATCCCAATCAAATGCAACAGCAGCAACAGCCGGGCATGCAACAACAACCCGGCATGCAGCAGCAACAGCAACCCGGTCAACAACAGGGCCAACAGGTATGTGTCGTATTTCGCAGTCGTCAAACATTTCTAAATTATATAAAAATAAAAAAAACATACATTTCTATACCAGTTCAAAATATACCCGTTATTTTTTTAATTTTGGATTTTTTGTTTCAAGTGTTCATTAAATACACTGTAAAATATTCTTTCTACTAACTTTTAACAGTCTTTAACAAAAAAACAAACAACAAATGTTCTTTTTTATAACATTTTTATTATACTAAAAATCAACTTCTAAACATGTTTTACTTTCATTCTGGCAACTCTGTACATAATAAATACACTGCAAAAAAAAACCAAACTTTCTTTAACAGAAAGCTTTAACACATGTGTCTGAAAGAATGTCAAATGTATTTTTTATGTTTTATTAAATAACAACAACATTAGCCACAACAATTAAACACACACTCCCACATCTCTACTCTACTCTACTCTCTACATACAAATATTGTAATTTATTTTGCTTGCACCTTCTTATGAAATTCTTTCCGATTTAAAATATTTTTATATAAATCACACACGATTTCTTTCTATATAAACGTTTAAGTTCAAAATGATTTCATTTGCATTTATGGGTTTCTTTTTAAGTTTTGTTCACAACATTTCAAACTCTACTACTTTTTTTCTACTCTGCTCTACTACTTTACTCTTTGCAAGAATTCTTCTGAACATTTTTAATCTATTAAAATTTAAGAGAGTATCTATGAGAGAAATTTAAGAAACTTTAAGTAGTTTGACAAAACTGTGATATTTTATATATAACTATGATATCTTAATATAACTCGGAATCTAGTAGAACCATTTTCTCGTCATACTTATACAGGCCTGTCACAGAATTCCATTCCGATCGAAAGTGGAATTATCTTTACAACTACAACTTTTTCAGAATGAAACCACTTCACATTTTCAACGTGGAATTGACAATATTGACAATAGTTTAAAGTATATCAATAATTTTATGGAAATGTATATAGTTTTCAGTAGGCCATACATTTTTATGTCAGATACATAGGTCATATCTTGTACCGGATATTGACTAATTCCAATATTATCGGAAAACTTAAGCTTCTATCGTTAAGCCCTTCACTGCTTTAAAGAAGCTAGCAAGTTGAAGGACGTTGTTTTCCTTTATGATCATTGGTCCCTATATGTTAAAATGATCTTGTTGCCAATGTTACGAGAGAATATCGTTAAGAGGAATGTAAAATTCGCAGACCATGTCTTGATGTCATGCAGATTTGGATACTTCCTCGGTATATCCTATTGCGTGTCTATCATTAGACTCTTTAGTGCTTTCAAGAGAGTCTCTTGAAGAGACTGACAAATTGACGTTCATTGTTAGATCGTCTCATACTATTACAAGAACCCTGGTTCAAAAATAGCCAACTCTGCAAGTCTTATAGACCATGATTGGTCCAATTTTTGTAAACCCTTAAATTGTAAACCAGTGTTACGCAAAAATCAGTCTTGATGTCATATAGACACCAGACATAGAATCGATGGCAGATTTTAATATCAGTAAAATTCGGAATGTTTCTTCCACGTAGCCTATTGTACTTCTATCTTTAGGACCTTTACTGCTCTCAAGAGACTGAAGAATTGAATTTCCAGATTAGAACCCTGCATAAGAAGCAGTTAACTCTGACCTTTACTCTCTGGGCCATTTTCAGTCTCTTTATGTTAACTAAATCGGATTGAAAATAGTATCCGACAAGTCGATCAAAAATGGACTTTTGTAGATTTGGGCATAATCTATATATAGACCATTTTCTCTTTAAATCTCTTTATTAAAGCTTCTGTAGAAGTCAATAAAGAAGAATGTAAATCACATAAACATTGTCCCTTCAAAGCTGCAGTCACTAATCGCAGCTGCAACCGTGAAAGTCTGAAAGTGGAAGAGTCAAAACTTATATCAATCAAGTTGGCATGTGGTCAGGGCAGCGGCGAAAAAGTACAATTCCCACTCTTGTGTCAATTTCTCTTTCATGGAGGTGAGAATCAGTTTTGGTCACACACCAGATTCGAATAGTTGTACAAAGTTTACCTGATGTCACAGTTTTTAATATTTGTCAATTAAATCGCTAAACCAATAATAACGTATATTTGTTTGTTTGTACCTTATAGGACGCTAAACTACTAAAGCGATCTTATTGAAATTTTCACAGTAGGTTCCTCTATATCTGGAAGGAACAATAGGCTACTTTTTATTTTTAAATTGCAAGTGGGAGAGGTGCCACGCCCACTTCCTTAAAAGTCGAATATCTCGGAATATGGTACAACTAGAGTACTCAAAAATTGTATGAACAATTTTGACATCCATATAAATATTTGAAGGAAAAATGGGACGACTAGCATTAGGGGGCGTGGCTATGAATATGAATTAAATACAAAACTGTGAATATCTGGAAAACGCTTAGAGCACGAACAACTTTGTAATAAATTGGCGAATAGGGGGCGTGGCACCTCCCATATGATCTATATGGACTAGGATGGTGATTTACTAATTTGTCTTTCATCACAAATATCCTCTTTGTAAACGATAGTGAAGACAGCAGTCGCTTAGGACATTTAAACTAGAGCGAAAATAGTCATCACATTACTCTCCATCAGTAACCTAGAGAGTAGACTCTTTAAAAAAACTTAAGCAAAAAGGTTCATTGAAATGTATTGACTCCTTTGGTCTAGCTAGTTCGGAACTTTCCCCCCAAAACTGCTGCCTACCTGCCTTGGAGATTGCTTCTACGTAAGCAATCGCAGAATTTTTAGCCAGTCTTTCGGTATGTTTAAAGAGCGACACTGTCCACGTCTTATCCCATTGTATATGGACCACCATGTTGGTTTACTAACTATTTTACGGATTCTACCCTGAAAGAGAGTAAATTCCTCTAACGTCTAATCGCCTGGTTGGCTCGAATGCGCTTTTCGTCACGAATGTACTCTTTGTAAACGAGAGTTATGACAGCCGTCACTTAAGTGGCCCTTTTGTAAGCGAGAGAGCAGACAGTCGTCACTTTACTGTGTATATTGAATTGACTTCTTTGGACTAGCTTACTGATTCTCTCTCTCTTTGTAATCTGTGAAGTGACAATTGTAATCTGTGAAGTGACAATTGAAGTGACCGAACTGGTGGATAATGAGAAAACTCGCACTGTAACAGTTTAACTTTTTCTAGAAAAACGATTTGAGAATATTTTCTTTGCATCAAGATGAAGCAGTTAAGTTCTAGTCTCAATCCGCATTAACTTAGGATCTACAATATTCAATTCTTCTTTTGCAGATCCTTTATTAGGATTAATATCTTTATTATTATCCGTAACATTTCCAATTAACGATCTGATTTAATATATTTTGTCTCCAATTTTAAACAAAAATATCACAGTATTGCGTTAAATCTTTAAGAATTCTGAAAAGAAAGTTTCTGAAATTTTACTCTTTCCCTCTCCTAAATCTTGTGTTTAACTCTCTAACCCTCTCTCTGACTGTCTCTTTTCACAAATTTCTTAAGATAGAATAAAATAAAACCTACATACACTGAACAAAATTATTTGTTAAAACATGTTGAAAATATCGTTTTTAAAGCACCTACTATATACAAATCTAAATCAATTATACAGACCATTACGAAACAAACGATAATTCACAGTAAACTAATTACGTTATAAATTGTTATTATTGAAATCCAAAACCAAAATTAAATCCCCCTTTTTTGAAATGTATGTAAGTTTCCATAAGAAATTTAACGAAAAAAATAATAAATACAAAAAAAATATATTTAATTGCTTGCGTTTTTTTAAATATATTGAACGAAATTTTTTAAATAAATAATTTGTTGGCATGTTAATGATTGAAAAAATCTGTTAAAACGATTAAATTAGCTGAACAATTTCATTTATTTAATACAATTAATTTTTTTCATAAATATTACATTAAAATAATATAAAAAACTACAAATAAAACATCATCATTTTGTGTAAATTCTAAATAAAAACAAACAAATTCCCCCCTAAATCATCTGTAAACGCAGGCCGAGGGAAGTACCGGTGTATTAGGAGGCCTATTCGGGGGCCTCTTTTCAAAACAAACACCACAAACTCAGACTCAAACTCAAACTCAAGCGAATCAAAATATTAACGTAAGTCTATAACTCATAACATAACTCTACTTACTTAATACATTTTTTAACTTTTAACACACATACAAAAATATATATAATACTTAATTATATTAATTAATTATATTAAATTATTAATAATAATAATAAATAATAATTATTTATTAATAATTTTTAATTACTATTTAACTCATTAAATTGTTTTGAAGTAAAGTACTTAGAGAACAAATATTTTTGTTTAATTTTCTTTTAATTAATTAATTAATGCTTGCAAAATAAATTTAAAAAAACCGAAATAATAGTAATAATAATTTGTTCAAAATTTAATTTCAATTTTGAGGTTTAAACAAATTTTTTAACAAAATACAAATTTAGTTTATAGTTTTAATTATTTTCTTAGAGTTGTAGCTAAGAACGTTGAAAAGTTTTTAGGTTTATAAACTTTAGACTCCAAAGTTGCTTAGTTTTAAGTAATAAATTATTTAAGTTTAGTCTTAGTTTTGGTGTTAATTTTACTTGAAACAATCTGAAGAACCAACTCCTCAGTCTACCAAACCTATTGAAGTTCTAGTTTAGGTAGTTACATCCACACTTACACTCACAACACACATCATAACAAATCCTTAACATTCCCCAAAAAACATTTTGAAATATGTATGTAATTCATACCCTACATCAAATCGTTACCTATTATTCTCATGGTGTAAATTTAACATCAAACAAGTAAAAATAACCTAAAATACACTGTAAAAAATAAACTAAAACAAAGAAAACAACAAAATACCGTAGTACAGTAAACTAAACTATACCTTTATTTGTAACATAAACAACTAGCTTTGCCTTTTTCTCTTACATTTTCGTTTCTTTCTTGGGTTCATTCTCTTAATTTTCGCTTTAAACTTAACCTTACTTAACCTAACTTTGTTTTCATTTCGTTCTGTTTCGTTCCCTTATCGTTTTCAAAATCATAAAATTTAATTATTTTCGCTTTGTTTGATTTCGAATATAAACTGAAAACATTTTCATTTATTACGATTAAAAAAAATAAAAATAAAATTAATAACATTTGCTTCGAATAAAATATTATTTCTCAACTTACAATGAAATAAAAATTATATTCACTAACAACAACAACAAACAATCATTGAACGAAAAAAAAAACTCACCAAAAATTATATTGCTTTAATCAAAATTTTTCCAAAAACTTTATTCGGGTTTAAACCAATTAAATTGATACCACAAAAAAGGGTTACCCACCGGGCCAACAGCAGCAACGTATGATGCGGCCGCCAGGTGTTCAGGGTATGCAGCAGCAGCAACAACCGTATGGACCTCAAGGCCCCATGGGTCCACAGCAGCGTTTCCCCGGCCAAAGAGGTCCTGCCCCTCCGGGTCAAATGCAACCGGGTGGACCCATGCAACAAGGTATGATGCCCGGTCAAACGCAACCCGGCATGCAACCTGGTGGCATGCAAGGTCAAATGCAAGGTGCTATGGGCCTTAGAGGTCCAATGTCTCAACAGCAGCAAATGCAGCAGCAGCAGCAACAACAACAACAACAAATGCAACAAGGCCAAATGATGCCCGGCCAACAAGGTCTAACACCACAACAGCAGCAGCAACAACAACAACAGCAGCAGCAACAGCAACAAATGGCAGCGGCCGCCCAGAAAAAGCCCCGCTACTTTGTTGCCATGTTCGACTATGATCCCAGCACAATGAGTCCAAATCCAGATGGATGCGACGAAGAACTGCCATTCCAAGAGGGTGATACTATTAAGGTAAGTCGGCAAATTAAAAACATGACTCTAGAACATTCTTCTTCATTTTACTTTGTTTTACCAACTAATTGGCCAGTTTGGAAAACAAATTGTAGTTTTGCGTTAGGATTATTAATGAGGCTTGTTAAAAAAAATTAATTACGAAAAAAAAAACATTAATATTAATTTCTTTTAAAGTGGCCTAGGTCGTAATTATTTAAATAATCATTTTGTTAATTTAGAGTGTTTCTACAACTTGAGACACAGTATTACAAAAATAAGTACAAGTGGAAAGCCAATTTAAGACTTTGGTTTTAGAATTAGATAATACTATTCCGAAATTCGAAAAAAACGAAAATGGGTGAAAGTAACAGAGGGGATTTAAGAACAATGTTCAGACTTTTTAATAAATTGTGTGGATCTATAACACTTAATGTTGCCGAATCTTTTATAACATCCATTAATACAAGTGCATCCATGTTCGCTTGGGTTAATCATTGATCTACAAATTTTGAGAATGTGATTCATTGCCAATACATAACAAACCCGATCTATAGAGGTTTTTGTGAAAATATTAGTCCTCTAGCTTCTTTTGTTGGTCTGAGATCCACCTTAAAACATTCCAATCATAAACATAAATGCCTTCGCTAAATTTTTCAGGAATGGTCTACATTTAATCGTAGATCCCATACAAAGTCCTTTCCAGAAAATTAGATTTTCAGCGAAAAATTAATGAAATATATTGGACTTAATGTAAATAAAGCATAGCGCTTTATAATAAAAAAATACTAGTGTAGGGCATCATACTATATGTACTTTCTTAAATGCTATACCCCTGCAACAATTACTAGAGTACATGATCCATTAAGATAATCCCAACATATTTCCCTGAAACCAACTTTGGAGTTCATGATTCGCTTAGTAGACTTATCTAATGCAGTCATGCACCATATTCTTTGTTTTTGGAAACAACATGGTCCATGACCAGTATTACATAGGGCCATTTTGAGGATCATGTACTCCTATAATTAAGCAAAGGAGTGGTCCTCGCCTAGGATATATTGGAACTAATGCAAATAAACCATAGCGCTTTATAATAACAAAAATACTAGTGCAGGGCATCATATGGTCGGTCATGTCAAACTTTATGTACTTTCTCAATTGTTATACCTTTGCAACAATTACTGGAGTCCATTATCCATTAAGATAATCCCAACATATTCCCCTGAAGCCAATTTTTGAGTACATGATTCGCTTAGTAGACTTATCTAATGCACTCATGAACCATATTCATTGTTTTTGGAAACAACATGGTCCATGGTCTGAATTACATAGTGCCATGTTGAGGATCATGTACTCCTATAATTAAGCAAATGTGTGGTCCTCGCCTAGGATAACGTAACTTTAAATGGAACAAGATTTTTCATATACATATTTGAATTAGTTTTTTAACAGTCGCAGTCCCATTATACTATAGACTAGACTATAGGCTAGACTATAGACTAGACTATAGACTAGAATATAGACTAGAATATAGACTAGACGATAGACTAGACTATATACTAGACTATAGACTAGACTATAGACTAGACTATAGACTAGACTATAGACTAGACTATAGACTAGACTATAGACTAGACTATAGACTAGACTATAGACTAGACTATAGACTAGACTATAGACTAGACTATAGACTAGACTATAGACTAGACTATAGACTAGACTATAGACTAGACTATAGACTAGACTATAGACTAGACTATAGACTAGACTATAGACTAGACTATAGACTAGACTATAGACTAGACTATAGACTAGACTATAGACTAGACTATAGACTAGACTATAGACTAGACTATAGACTAGACTATAGACTAGACTATAGACTAGACTATAGACTAGACTATAGACTAGACTATAGACTAGACTATAGACTAGACTATAGACTAGACTATAGAATAGACTATAGACTAGACTATAGACTAGACTATAGACTAGACTATAGACTAGACTACAGACTAGACTATAGACTATACTATAGACTAGACTATAGACTAGACTATAGACTAGACTATAGACTAGACTATAGACTAGACTACAGACTAGACTATAGACTATACTATAGACTAGACTATAGACTTGACTATAGACTATAGACTCGACTATAGACTAGACTATAGACTAGACTATAGACTAGACTATAGACTAGACTATAGACTAGACTATAGACTAGACTATAGACTAGACTATAGACTAGACTATAGACTAGATTTTAGACTAGACTATAGACTAGACTATAGACTAGACTATAGACTAGACTATAGACTAGTCTATAGACTAGACTATAGACTAGACTATAGACTAGACTATAGACTAGACTATAGACTAGACCATAGACTAGACTATAGACTAGACTATAGACTAGACTATAGACTAGACTAGACTATAGACTAGACTATAGACTAGACTATAGACTAGACTATAGACTAGACTATAGACTAGACTATAGACTAGACTATAGACTAGACTATAGACTAGACTATAGACTAGACTATAGACTAGACTATAGACTAGACTATAGACTAGACTATAGACTAGACTATAGACTAGACTATAGACTAGACTATAGACTAGACTATAGACTAGACTATAGACTAGACTATAGACTAGACTATAGACTAGACTATAGACTAGACTATAGACTAGACTATAGACTAGACTATAGACTATGACTAGACTATAGACTAGACTATAGACTAGACTATAGACTAGACTATAGACTAGACTATAGACTAGACTATAGACTAGACTATAGACTAGACTATAGACTAGACTATAGACTAGACTATAGACTAGACTATAGACTAGACTATAGACTAGACTATAGACTAGACTATAGACTAGACTATAGACTAGACTATAGACTAGACTATAGACTAGACTATAGACTAGACTATAGACTAGACTATAGACTAGACTTTAGACTAGACTATAGACTAGACTATAGACTAGACTATAGACTAGACTATAGACTAGACTATAGACTAGACTATAGACTAGACTATAGACTAGACTATAGACTAGACTATAGACTAGACTATAGACTAGACTATAGACTAGACTATAGACTAGACTATAGACTAGACTATAGACTAGACTATAGACTAGACTATAGACTAGACTATAGACTAGACTATAGACTAGACTATAGACTAGACTATAGACTAGACTATAGACTAGACTATATACTAGATTATAGACTAGACTATAGACTAGACTATAGACTAGACTATAGACTAGACTATAGACTAGACTATAGACTAGACTATTGACTAGACTATAGACTAGACTATAGACTAGGCTATAGACTAGGCTATAGACTAGACTATAGACTAGGCTATATACTAGACTATAGACTAGGCTATAGACTAGGCTATAGACTAGGCTATAGACTAGACTATAGATTAGGCTATAGACTAGACTATAGACTAGGCTATAGACTAGACTATAGACTAGGCTATAGACTAGACTATAGACTAGGCTATAGACTAGACTATAGACTAGGCTATAGACTATAGACTAGACTAGACTATAGACTAGACTATAGACTAGACTATAGACTAGACTATAGACTAGACTATAGACTAGACTATAGACTAGACTATAGACTAGACTATAGACTAGACTATAGACTAGACTATAGACTAGACTATAGACTAGACTATAGACTAGACTATAGACTAGACTATAGACTAGACTATAGACTAGACTATAGACTAGACTATAGACTAGACTATAGACTAGACTATAGACTAGACTATAGACTAGACTATAGACTAGACTATAGACTAGACTATAGACTAGACTATAGACTAGACTATAGACTAGACTATAGACTAGACTATAGACTAGACTATAGACTAGACTATAGACTAGACTATAGACTAGACTATAGACTAGACTATAGACTAGACTATAGACTAGACTATAGACTAGACTATAGACTAGACTATAGACTAGACTATAGACTAGACTATAGACTAGACTATAGACTAGACTATAGACTAGACTATAGACTAGACTATAGACTAGACTATAGACTAGACTATAGACTAGACTATAGACTAGACTATAGACTAGACTATAGACTAGACTATAGACTAGACTATAGACTAGACTATAGACTAGACTATAGACTAGACTATAGACTAGACTATAGACTAGACTATAGACTAGACTATAGACTAGACTATAGACTAGACTATAGACTAGACTATAGACTAGACTATAGACTAGACTATAGACTAGACTATAGACTAGACTATAGACTAGACTATAGACTAGACTACAGACTAGACTATAGACTATACTATAGACTAGACTATAGACTTGACTATAGACTATAGACTCGACTATAGACTAGACTATAGACTAGACTATAGACTAGACTATAGACTAGACTATAGACTCGACTATAGACTAGACTATAGACTAGACTATAGACTAGACTATAGACTAGACTATAGACTAGACTATAGACTAGACTATAGACTAGACTATAGACTAGACTATAGACTAGACTATAGACTAGACTATAGACTAGACTATAGACTAGACTATAGACTAGACTATAGACTAGACTATAGACTAGACTATAGACTAGACTATAGACTAGACTATAGACTAGACTATAGACTAGACTATAGACTAGACTATAGACTAGACTATAGACTAGACTATAGACTAGACTATAGACTAGACTATAGACTAGACTATAGACTAGACTATAGACTAGACTATAGACTAGACTATAGACTAGACTATAGACTAGACTATAGACTAGACTATAGACTAGACTATAGACTAGACTATAGACTAGACTATAGACTAGACTACAGACTAGACTATAGACTAGACTATAGACTTGACTATAGACTATAGACTCGACTATAGACTAGACTATAGACTAGACTATAGACTAGACTATAGACTAGACTATAGACTAGACTATAGACTAGACTATAGACTAGACTATAGACTAGACTATAGACTAGACTATAGACTAGACTATAGACTAGACTATAGACTAGACTATAGACTAGACTATAGACTAGACTATAGACTAGACTATAGACTAGTCTATAGACTAGACTATAGACTAGACTATAGACTAGACTATAGACTAGACTATAGACTAGACCATAGACTAGACTATAGACTAGACTATAGACTAGACTAGACTATAGACTAGACTAGACTATAGACTAGACTATAGACTAGACCATAGACTAGACTATAGACTAGACTATAGACTAGACTATAGACTAGACTATAGACTAGACTATAGACTAGACTAGACTATAGACTAAACTATAGACTAGACTATAGACTAGACTATAGACTAGACTATAGACTAGACTATAGACTAGACTATAGACTAGACTATAGACTAGACTATAGACTAGACTATAGACTAGACTATAGACTAGACTATAGACTAGACTATAGACTAGACTATAGACTAGACTATAGACTAGACTATAGACTAGACTATAGACTAGACTATAGACCTATAGGCCTAGACTAGACTATAGACTAACTATAGACTAGACATAGACTAGACTATAGACTAGACTATAGACTAGACTATAGACTAGACTATAGACTAGACTATAGACTAGACTCTAGGACTAGACTATAGACTAGACTATAGACTAGACTATAGACTAGGACTATAGACTAGACTATAGACTAGACTATAGACTAGGACTATAGACTAGACTATAGACTAGACATAGATAGACTATAGACTAGACTATAGACTAGACTTTAGACTAGACTATAGACTAGACTATAGACTAGACTATAGACTAGACTATAGACTAGACTATAGACTCGATATAGACTAGACTATAGAATAGACTATAGACTAGACTATAGACTAGACTATAGACTAGACTATAGACTAGACTTACAGACTAGACTATAGACTAGGACTATAGACTAGACTATAGACTAGACTATAGCCTAGACTATAGACTAGACTATAGACTAGACTATAGACTAGACTATAGACTAGACTATAGATAGACTATAGACTAGACTATAGACTAGACTATCAGACTAGACTATAGACTAGACTATAGACTAGACTATAGACTAGACTATAGACTAGACTATAGACTAGACTATAGACTAGACTAGACTATAGACTAGACTATAGACTAGACTATAGACTAGACTATAGACTAGACTATAGCTAGACTATAGACTAGACTATAGACTAGATTATAGACTAGACTATAGACTAGACTATAGACTAGACTATAGACTAGACTATAGACTAGACTATAGACTAGACTATAGACTAGACTATTGACTAGGCTATAGACTAGGCTATAGACTAGACTATAGACTAGGCTATATACTAGACTATAGACTAGGCTATAGACTAGACTATAGATTAGGCTATAGACTAGACTATAGACTAGGCTATAGACTAGACTATAGACTAGTCTATAGACTAGACTATAGACTAGGCTATAGACTAGACTATAGACTAGACTATAGTCTAGACTATAGACTAGGCTATAGACTAGACTATAGTCTAGTTCCATAGTCGAATTTTGGCACGCCTTGTTTTTTCACCTAGGGATCCATTAAGTTGAAAATCGAAACAATCGATCCAAAATTGTATTATTGTGAAAACATTCGTCAAAAACATCGTTATCAGCACAAAAATTTTGCAGATATGTACACAAAAAAAACCTGAAATCATATTCCCGACGTAGATCAGTATCTGTCCATAATTGGTCATAGCTCCCATATAAAGACCCTCTTCCTAAAAGCACTTAAATGCACATAACTAATTAACAACTAGTGATGTTGGAATAATATTCGGCATAGATATGTTTTGCGAATACATCTTTTACTCTGAAAAGTATTTTTTGGATGGAATATTGGACCGAAAACATACATATTTCATCACTGAATGAATACATCGGTATATGAATGTGTTTAAAGTGCATATAAATCATCCTGTAAAATTTTTTCCGAATCGGTCCACAATTAGTCATAGCTCCCATATAACGTTCACTTCCGAAAATTAATTAAATGCCTATAAGTAATTAAAAAATAAAGATATACAGACATATGTTACTCTACCAATTTTTTTCCGGATCGGTCCATAATTGGTCTTATCTATCATATAAGATTAATTTTCGAAAATTGCATATTTCATTGATAAATAAAGATATCGGAATAAAGTTCCGCTTAATTTTTGAATATACAGATCACTCCGACTTTTTTTTCCTGGATAGGACCAAAATTGGTCCATATAAGGTCCACTTACTAAAACGCATATACATATTTCTATAAAAATTGATATGAATATATTTTTTCTATATCGAAATCATTTTAAACATTTTTTTAGGATCAGGCCATAATTGGTCATACATTTTCTATGTTTCTTTGATTATAAAATATTTGAATTTTCATAATTATCATTACAAATGATTTTCTTGATTAATAAACACCATAAACATCAACTTTGTAAATCTCCTCTAATACGGAACCAACCATGATCGGCCTATAATCGTAGTCGTAGCAGTTGTAGGGACACTCTAAAAATCTAATAATTAGCATTAACTATAATAATGGAATGATTGTTAATTACTTATTTTAAAATTAAATAAATATTCGTATGTAGTTGGTCAGCTAAAAGTAAAAAAATAATAAAAAAAGTCTGTATGTAACCAAACCGTTTATAGCAACCAAAGGTAAGATTAGAATAAAAAAAAATATCTACAACAAATAACAGAAAAAAACTAACGAAAACCTTGTGGGAAACAGTGCAAACTAAAAGTGTTTGAACCCGCTTTATTTATAACAAATAATTTATAACATAATTAAATTAATGCTCGATTGGTTAAATAAATTTTAAAGGCAACTTACTGATCGGTTAGCAGCTTAACAACATTATTTAAATCATTAAACGAATTAGATTTTGTCATCATTATTATTACAATTATTTAAACAATAATCAGAATTGTTAATTATTATTATCACCCATCATCCCTTAAATATGTTAATTTTCATAGAATAGTGTTAAACAAATAATATATTTATTTATTTTAATTAAGTATTAAAATGCTTTAATTAGTTTAGAGTTTAAATGTAATTTTTTGTTAATTATTTTAATGCAACTATATATTATTTATATATAACAAATATTTATAAATGTTTCTAATGTTTTTAATATTTAATTATTAATTGATTTATTTATATTAAATGAATAAATCTAAGGTCTGTTAACTTAAGCATCAGGGAAAACATAAATTTTGTATAAAATATTAATTTTTGGCTCAACTATAAGTTAACAGACCTAAATAATATTTTCCCCAGATTATAACACAGTTACTTTAATGCTCAATTTCTGCTCTATGTCTTTTTGTCTCTATATAATAGGTCTATGGTGATAAGGATGCCGATGGTTTTTATTGGGGTGAATTGCGTGGTCGTCGTGGCTATGTACCTCACAATATGGTTACAGAGGTTGATGATGGCACTGGTCAAATGGGCCAAATGGGTGGCCAGATGCCTCAACAACCCGGCGGTGGTACGGGCCAAGTAATGCCCGGCCAAGTGGGCACTCAACAGAGTATGCGAAATGTTAGTCGTGATCGTTGGGGTGATATTTATGCAAATATGCCAGTTAAGCGCATGATCGCCCTCTACGATTATGATCCACAAGAACTAAGCCCCAATGTTGATGCCGAAGTAAGTACAATTTTGATCTCTTAAGAATTTTTATCTTTATTTATATTTGAGCGCATAGATTTTAAATGTTTGGTGTTTAAATTAGCGTAAAGCGGCCAGTAGCGGTGGTCGTGGTGGTCTCTTTGGGGGAATATTTAGTAATTTATTGCCCACTTTTACTCAAGACACAACCACTTCACGTTGGGTGAGAAAATTATCAACATTTTTATATGATGCTAGCTTGAAAAAGTAATTCTATCTCAAGGCTAGAAAAATCTGCATTATTTTAAGGGCTTTTACTATTTGTATTTAAGAATTGCACTAATGTTTTGGAAATCTTGTAATAACTAGATCCTTTATTTGCTAAATATCCTGTGATCCAGAAAATTTATATATATTTAAACTTCTATACCATCGAGTTAGCATTCTTGTTAGGAACTAATATAGCTGTCTGTACTTCAGATCTGAGATAATTTCTTATAGTTATTTTGAAAGTTCGGAAATTTCAAAAAAATGCATTTCTTTTCCAGTTCCATATGCTTTGTATTACACTCTGCTCCTTAATACAAAGTATATAGAAATGGAAAAGGAATTTCCTTAGCTCTATTTGGTTTGAGGAAATCTGAAACGATCCTCATTTACTTTGTCAATTCTCTTAAATTTTGCGTCAAAATACCAACGCTCACGAGGAAAAAAATCAATAAAAATGAATCTGAAATTTTTAACAAGACATAAGTTAGGTTTATGTTAAAACAGATAATGCTTTAAACATCATATCAGGAAAATATATAAACATAGGCTTAGGCCGTTACCCGACCTCTTGTCAGCTCCCTTACACGAATCACCTTTAAAAATCTAAAATAGTTCAATAATCCAATAACTCCAATTCAATGTTTCAATATAATGTTTTATCCGGTATAACATTGATCACAAGGTGTTTGAGTGTAATTTCTATTTCCATCCTCACCATATACTCAACGTTTGACAGATTCCTTCCTTCAAAATTGGTGTAGTTGTGGCCGAAGTACTGTATACCCAGCCGGAATACTTTTCATTAAAATAACCTTAGACTTGCTCTCATTGAAGTAACATGTTGTTCTCTCTTCGCATGGGGTAGTTAGTTAGTTTGAAAGGAGGATGTATATACATCAAATCCGAAGAAATACACCTAGGCCTCTATCGGGCCTTTTGCATGGGGTAACCAATCGATTTTGTGGTCGTATTCACCATTCCATTTGATCTTCTACTACAGACGTAGACTTAACGATATTGGCTAATAACACCCTTAATATTTCTCGGCTATCGGAGTAGCTATATGTATATGTATCTGCCTTCGATATATTTTTAACACATTCCGTAATAGAGCAGATCTTGCTCATTTTGAGAAGGATCTTTGTGGTTCCATCGTTTTATTATTTCAAGAGGCCTTGTGGAATTATCTCGCCCATATTGTTAATATAGCCCTCCAGCTCGCTTTCCTTTAAAGTTAGTACATTTGCTCTTTCGTTGCTGATTACGTATGAGTGGCCTGGTAGGGTATTTGGTTAAAGCTTTCATACAAACCAATACGGTCTTAGATTTAACTTTGTCTCTTGATATTGCCTTAATTGCCTTTTGGTTGTCGGTAAATATGTTAATCTAATACGCATTCCGTTATTGCTAGTACTTCTAATAATATAGTGTTGTCTGGTTCTAATGTCCAAAATAATATAGTAGGACTTATGCCTCATTTCATGCCTATGGTTCACCTATATATCGCCCAGCACCGATATGCCTTGCTAATCCTATCCTCTATTTAAGTCCATTTTAATTTCCGGTCAAGTATTACATATAGATAATTAATTCCAGAAAACAGGGTTCAGTATACTGTTGTGTTTCTTGGGAAAATACACGATTTTTGTCTTCGACAAATTCAAAACCTCTTCAAGCCTTTCTACACAAGTAATTTGGATCCTTTCCCCTTAGAAGTACAACGACTTCATCTGCATAGCAGACATGTTTAAGTCCTTGCTAGGTTAAGATTTAATGGTTGCCCAAAGTAAAGAGCAAATCTCACAGCTTACCTATATGTTCCTTATGTGGTTGATCCCGTTATGGAGCATCCGGTCAACATAAGGCTGGTCTAAGAGCCAATGCGCACCATCAGTGTATACAGTTTGTTATCCTATATAGCGGACAACTTCATTTAACGCGGTTTCCAATGATCGTTCCTGTGTTTACCCATGATATTGACTATCCGTTCCAAGGTTTTATCAATTGATATGACTTCGGTTTACCGGTTTTGCTAATTTCAAGTATGCAGAGAGAATCTTTGACAGATGAACCGAAATCAATCCCGACCTTATCTGCAAAAGTGCGGGAAAATACCATAGGGTCTTGCAGCTTTATAGGTTATAAAACTCTTGTTTTCCTTCTTAATCATACCGGTTGTATTAATTAACTTTGTGTTATCTATCTATGTGGGTTTATCTATGGTATCGTATATACCAGGTGGGAAGTAAGATGAATTTCATTGTCTCCTCCAGTATCATGTATTAGAACTTTTTTTATATACATACGTCATTTATCTTATCTTCCCGCTCACAGAAAAGCTTCCATGAGTCTCCATGGAAGTCTCCACAAAGTTTATTACGATAGTCATCCCTGTATACTGTGGTATTTTTGCTTTGTGCCCGGTTAAAGAGTCTTTCCCATGCTTCGTATCTTTTTCGTTACCCAGAGAACAACTGTCCTAAGTCCTCTGCGAACAATGTCTTCCCGATGTTTCGGATCTCTTTTGTCACACTGAACAACTGTTCTTGAACGATTCAACCAGGGTGCATTTCTAGTTTGGCATCTATATCCTCTGAGTCCTCTGCGAACAGTGTCCAAGTAGTTTCAGACTTATTCCGAGACATAACGATGGTCTGAAAAGCAGTGCCCTTCCGAAACTATTTAATCCACAATTTTGTTTATAAGATCTTCTGAACATAGAGTTATATCTAGAACTTCTTTTCTGATTCTATTGACGAATGAGCTTTATTACATAAGTCCAATGTCAACGTTATTCAATAAATCCAGTTACAAGATATATATTTCCAAGCCCTTGATTCAGCACCGTCGCACCAGATGTTGACAACACTGTTATGAGGAGAAAGCGTTCTAGTGACATAAGATACATGTTCTTGGATGAGACCCTGTATTAGCGTAGACAAGTTGGAAATTTACGTGATTTAATACGACATTCGAAGTACAAATTATTTCCAACCAAACCCCCAATTCTTTCAGACAAAAAAATACTATATATTTTATAATGTATAAACGTTGAAAGCATCGGGTCACAAAATATAGATTGTTGGCAATTTCCCCCAATTTCTATAGGATCTAAAGCCTAGATATTTAGAAATCATTTAGTTTTTGAACTGATCCGATAAACCTTTTTATTAGTTTTTAATGTCTTTGAAGTGATCAGTGTTCAAAAACTAAATGATTTCTAAATATCTAGTCTTTTGAAGCATCATTTTTTTAGTACCAAATAAGCAACCTTGTTTTCTAGCTACAAATTCACATCCGCTTTAAAAACAACAACATTCTCCTATGAAATGTTGAAACCAAAAAAACACCATTTTTAGTTAATCTCTACTTGTAGGAAAATTTGCACCGATGTTTAATGCTAGATTTTATATAATAAATTTATACAAAATTGATTTAAATAATTAACACAATATAATTTATTTCTTTCCCCCCCAAAAAAAAAAAAAACAAAACCTTAGCAAGTGGAGTTGAGTTTTAAAACGGGTGAAATCATACTTGTGTATGGTGATATGGATGAAGATGGTTTCTATATGGGTGAATTGGATGGCGTGAGAGGTTTAGTACCTTCTAATTTCTTAGCCGAAGCGCCCGATACATATAGCAATCAAATGATGCCTGGTGGTGGCCCTGCAGGACGCGGTGGCTTGGCCAGTCAAAGGGGCAGAGGTCAAGGGCCGGGTGCTAGAGGACCGCCACCACCTCCTCGAGATAATATGATGCCTGGTATGGCAGGACCTCGTGGTCCCCAAGGAAAAAGTAAGTAAAATTTGTGCAGATTCTACTACTGTGATTTTTTTTATTCTTTCATTTATTTGTTTAATTTTCTTGTGTAAAAATATATATTTTATTTTATTTCTTTAATTAAATTTCTTTTAAATTTTATGATTTTATTAATTATTTCATTATTTTAACTGTAAATTGTAAAATAATTAGGTTTTATTTATTAACAAATATAACTGTAATATACAAAAAATACATTGTTCTTCTTTACAAAAAACAAAAATTGGTTTCCAAATAATGTTAACTATTAAAATTATTTTCCAAAATCTATTTCTAATTAAATAAAGTATTTAGAATCAGGTATATTTTTCTACAAATTTAGGTCTTGAAACAAAATTATATTTTGATAAAAGATAAACGACTAATATTTGGAACACTGCAAAAAGTATTTTAAACATTTCTAAACAAAATTTACAATAAAACTTTTTCAGCAAAAATTAATTTTCATTTCAATTATTTGTTTTATAATTTGTTTATGTAAAATAATTTTATTTTTCTTTTAATTTTTTTCTTTAAATTTTATTTTACTAATAAATAATTATTTCGGCACAACATTTCTGTAATATTTTTTTTTTCAAATATACATATGAATATAGTTGTTGTTCTTGTTGTTTGTAATTGTTAACTAAAATTTAGTAAATAATAAAAAGTGGTAAAAAGAATCTAAAATAGTTTTTTTAGTTAAAACATCTCATTAAATAAAAACATTAAAAAAACAAGACATCATTTCAATTTGTTATGAATTCTCAAAATTCATTTCAAATATTTTCAAATTCATTTACAACATCAACCTTTTCTATTCTTATTTCACTTCTAATTGTTTTATTAATCCATGTTTTTTTAAATTATTCAATTATATTTTTCTTCATTATTTATTCGTGTCCTGTCTGTAATATTTAAAAAACTAAAAATAATTTTACAAAAAATAAACAAAAAAATGTGTCTGTGTGTGTGTGTTTACATTTTAAGTTTGTTTATTATTAAATAACTGCATGTGATGTCTTATTATTTAACTTTTAAATTAAATATTTAAATTTTTTAAATAAAATTTGTCTTAAAAAAACTTCTATTACTATTGGAGAAAAATTCTACATAAATTACAACTCAATTTTAATTTATTTTTGAGCTACCCTGTAACATATTTTAATGTAAACAATGTTGCCAGAAGTTTTATTATTGTTCTTAAAAGGGCGTTTGTATTGAACGTTGAACATTTAATCGTTTTAAAGGTTGTATTCCGAATTCTAATCAATGTTTCAACCAGGATATTTGTGAACGTTTCTATATTGTCTTTATTTCGACATTGAGGGTCTTGTCCTAAACGGTTCCAAACGTTGTCCAATTAGTTTTAGACATATTCCGAAACGTAATCAGTGGTGGCCGTAGTATTATCAATCTTATCAATGCTTCAACCGAACGAATCAACCAGGGTACTTGTGAACGTTTCTATATTGTCTTTATTTCGCCATTGAGGATCCTGTCTTAAACGTTTTCGAACATTGTCTAATTAGTTTTTAGACTTATTCCGAAATAAAAAGTGGTGGCCTTAGCATTATCAATCTTATGTATGCTCTTCAGAGCATATCTTTGATGAAAGACCCCATATTGGTGTGATTGCAATCCTGGGGAAAAGATGTGCGACCAATACCTCTAGTCTGCCGGGACTATAAAGTGGTAATAATCAAATGTATGGAATGATATTACTGGTGGTCAGATTCAGAACTTTGCCCTGGATAGTCAGTTGGTTGAGGTTCATTCGGGATCCTCGTAGTGGCTGTAGTTTAAAAGAATATCGGTTAAGGGACTGATGCAAGGTGATATCTATAATTCGGGATAAGTTGGGTGCTGTTGCCGAAGTCAACAGATAACCCACTGTGGGACTAAGTGGAGTTATTCAATGTATATGATAGAGGATGCATATAGGGATATACGGGTCTTCTCACGTCTGTATACCTAGAGAGAGTGTGTCGGATGAATGAGAAGTGTGCTGGGTTGAATGGTGGTGGATGAAAGGATCCTTATTCAAGTGTTACCATTGATACCAGGTATGTTCAGGGAAAACTCTGTTCATAGCAGATTTACCACAGTGTGTTCTCTGAATAAGAACAAAATACTCGGCTTATTTGATGGATTCGAGATTCGGTCTACCGAATACGTCTCTAGGTGCTGTTGCCGACTCAACAGAGGCACTTCGACATTTGTGTCTGAACATATAGTTATATATCCCGATCCTATTGATGAAAGTAACTTTATTACCTAAGTTTAATGCGATCAAATCTTTAGGTTAGGTTGATAGTAGGATGTATACTACATCAAATCCGAAGAAATACATTTAGGCCACTATCTGTTGTTTGCCCCATTCGGTTAGAGGGTTATTCATTTTGTCTATATTCTGCTCTATATTTTCTACATTTTGCTCTGCATTGGTTCCTAAAATTTAGTGTCATCCCTTTATATTATTGTTTATTCAGATGTTTCAAGAAATGCAGATTTTCTCTAACAACACTGCTGAGGATAAATATGTATGTTTATCTGTTCTACTCCTCGAAATCTCCACCAAATCTTTTCTTACTGCGGTTAATTTTCCGTTGAGCCGCTATCAACTTTATATGGATTTCAGGTACTAGTAATTAAGTTTGTCAACTTGACTTTGCTTTGTATTTGGCGAACTATTTGAAACATATCACTGAATGCAGCATTGGTGTCCTGTACGTCTTCAAAACTTTGCTCGGAATCAGAAAATTGAATCCAAAGCCGCTTGATTTAGGTTTATTGGAATGTATAATTACATTGATAAGAATTCATGACCTGTCATGGTAAATTGGATTTACACATCGGTAGTAACGATTAGTCATAATGACTTCCGGACGAATGCGGTGTCTTTCAGGCAGAGATCTTAGCGATCGCAAACGCAGTTTTAATATTCTGTTGGGTACTGCTACTGTAATGTACAGGTTAATGAGACCACAGCTTGATTTGCGGATAGAGCTCAGATCTCAGCTCTGATAGTACAAATAGATCGGAAAACCCACAAATACATGTCGATTACCGTAAAATTCAAAGCAGTACGATGGATTGCGGTCATCTAAGTCCTTGTAGCTGATGTTGAACACCAATGTTATCAGAATACTATTAGAATTGGAGAGGCGGAGTATAATTATTCTACTAGAAGTGATAGCCGATCACTGAGCAATTGGAGTCTTTTAGGTTGTGTGAAGGCGAAAAGTCTCCTTTAGATACAGTACAGCATATTTTATGCAACTGTCCTAAAGTTCAGATTGGCTAGGAAATAAGAATTCACAATGAATTTGTAGTGATATAGGCAACCTTCTAGGTTTTATCAGGGGATTATAATGGCTATTCATGTGTCGGACTATAGAAAATTTCTTTCAAAGGATACTTCTATTGTCGCCATTTTGCTTGCATAGGAATTAAATTCTTTTTCACTTTTCACTCTAACTTTACTATCTTCCTTTTAACTTTTGTTTTATTATAAAGGGATTCTCAATGTACCCTTAGGTACATTAACCTTTAAAACTAAATTGGGTTAATCGGATATCCTGCCAGCATATAATAATGTGGAACTGTCAACGTAGAAATGTCTCTCTCAGTATAATTTAGTTTTAATTGCTGAACTACTTCTCGATTCGAGGAAGGTTAGTTGCTTGTAGCATACTTATGTACATTTCGACATCCAATTTGTATCCTTTTTTTAAAACCTATAGTCGTCATTGGGGAGTTTGTAATGTGACAGATATTTACAGATATCTTCAGACGATCACGCTTTACATATGACAAGTCTAATGAAAAACTGAAACGAAATTCCATCCTCATGACAAAAAAGAGAATAAAAGTCGTATGATTTATATTATTCGTGTTTACACAATTTGTATAAAACTATAACAAAGTAAGATGGAAACAGCTGTTTCACTTTTTTTGTATGTATTTACATAAATATACATCCCTGATCTAGTGCGACTTGCTTGTTTTTTGCATCATTTCAAAAGAAAAAAAATGAAGAAAGCCATACGACTGTCAAATTTCCATCTGCATTTTCTCTCAATGTGTGATGGTTTCATTACATATTGTATTTAGACGATCCCAATTGTTTTCTTCTACACAAAACTTTGACAGATCATATTACTTGTGTGCTGGTGTGAAGGAGGCTTAACATGGTTTTTATACTAAATCTGCAAGACTATCGATTCTTATACATACCCTCAGCATTCTTGATATTCGTTTAAATATTATTATTCGAGATTGCTATTTCATGTTCTACACATTAAAGATTAGTCCATTAGATCCATAATAAAGAAATTCAATCTAAAATCTGTACATACTCGATTTTATTTCTTTAGATTCTGTATACATAATTTAATCTCAGATACTAGTTTTTTTTTAATAAGGACTTGGTTCCTATTATTTTAATAATATTTAATATCTTATTTATTAATTTTCTCTCTTGTGTAAAAGTTAGATTTGTCATTCATTCTGCATGATTGATACGAGTAGTTTAGTTTGTTAACTTTGCTGTGTGTACTTTTCACTACCACCATCATACCTTAACGACACTACTACAAATTAAAATATGTTTGATCTGGCAACATCTTTGTTTCGCAATTAAGTACACTGTAAAAAATTATGTATACAAAATAATTTCTTTAAGTAAAAATTATTAAAAAATCTTTTAAAAAAAAAAAAAACAAAATACAAAATTCCTCTACATGTCTTTAAATGTTTAATGCATTTGTTATTTTACCAAACAAAAAAACAAATTCGTGATAATTTCTATTAATCATAAACATATAATTTTATATATAAAACAACAATAACAACAACAATACTTTTATTAACAGCTTCAAGCACTAATTCAAAAAACAATTTTAAATTAAATTTAAAATTTTTTAAAAAACCATATGTATTTAATAACATTTTTTTTTTAATTTTTATAACTTAAACAAATTAAATGTAAAAATCAAATAATTAAATAACTATGTAATATTGTGTAATATTTTATATATATATATTAATAATTATATTGAACAAAAAAAGAAAAAATATTAACGAAAACTTAAGTTTTTGAAAGACAAAATACAACATTTTTAAAGGTAACGTTTTATTTCTTTTTCATATTTACTCGTACACTTTCTTTCTCTAATAAAAATATATTTCAATAATTTTTTTCTTTTATATTTAATTTTATTTTTATTTAACAGCTTTTTTATGTAAAATGCAAAATAAGTTTTTCTTTTTTTTTTTTTTTTTTTGTAACATTGTGTTTTTAAAAGTTTTGAGTTAAATGTATATTTAATATGTAAAAAAAAGAAACTCTAGTAAAACTAAAACTAATTTTAAGTAATTTTTATAAAAAAACTTGCGGTGAATTATATAGAAACTATATTTAATGCACAGGCCTTTAGATGCTGGTGTGTTTTGTCTATATGAAATGAAAGTGAACTGAACTGATCTGAAATGAGTTTAAAATGAGCTTAATTGTTAAAAGATTTAAACTGAGCACAATTCATGTGTTTTGGTAATGATCGGTTTAAAATATGATTTTATTAACTTTAGGTTACAAAATATCTATAACAACAACAACAAATTGGTTTTCAATACAAGCAACAAAACAAATTTATATTAATTTTTCTATAATTTTTCTTTACAAAACAACAAATGGAAGAAATTATTTTTTTTTTGGAAATTCTGTTTTATAACTCTATATATTTTTCTTTCTTTTTTTTTCGGTTAATTTTCTTTGAGATTCTTGTTTATTTTCTTAATTTTTTTTTATCTTATATTTATTTCTTTAACAAAAACAAAAAAAAAACAAATTTAAGTTAAACAAAATTATTTTGTAATGGTCTGCTGTGGTAAATGTGAAGTCTTTATGTTATATTTGTTGCTATAGATGCTCGCCCTGCTTCCCCTACACTGTTAGACAACACGGGCCACCCTGCCCCCGATCACCAAACGCAGGTAAATACTCTTTCTTCTTTACGTTTTTTTGTTCAAAGAAAAAAAATGCATTTTTAAATTTGTTTTTAATTTTGTTTTTGAAAAAAATATACGTTACGTTATACTACTACTACTTACTACTACCATTAAAACTCTGCCTAAACTACCTTACTAGAAATAAAAAACTACCTCTACTTAACCACCCCACTACCCCACTTACCCTCCACTCACTTTTTTCTATCTAAATTTGTTCTGTTTTTTTTGTCAACAAATCAAACCAATTAAACACTTTTTTTAATTGTTTACTACTATTACTACTACTATTGTACTACAACTCTGTCTTTGTGCAAATTAAACAAAAACTCAACTTGTTAATCATGCATTAATTTTATAAAAAGGAAATTGTTCAAATTTTTTGTTTATTATTTTAGTTTGTGTTTGTTTTCTTTTCAAAACAGTAGTAAGGAACAAAATACTTTAAAAACTTTTGTACAAAAAGTATAAAATTTAAAAAAATAATAATAAATGTTATTACATTTTTTTAACACCATTCATAATATTATAGCTTTTTGCCTTCAAAAAACAAAACATTTATATTTTGTAACACTTTAAGAAAATAATCATATGTCACTCTTCAATTTACCTGTCAAATGTCAAAAATATTTATGCTTCAACAGCAAATAGAAACAAACTAAATATTAAATAATTACAAATATTTGCAATACAACTGAAAACCTAAAGTTAATACGTTTTTTATGTATAGCTAGCAACATTTTATCAAATCATTTTATATTTATTTTTTATATAAAACAATATATAACAACAACAACTACTAAACAAGAAATATTTAGCTTTAAATTTAATAGAAAATTTAAGAAATAAACATTTAAAATCCAGTAAACGTACTTAGTTAGAGCACTTTTAAACAAATTAATACTGAAAAAAAATTATACATTTAGTAGCCGTATAACTCCCAAAAAATACCGTAATAATTAAATTAAAATAAAAAAACAACAAAAACATAATCACATTTCACTATTTACCTACTCAACAACAACAATAACACCACTTTATCAGTCATTATTTTTCTCCTCTACCACCGCATTAAAAGGAGTGCATTTAAATAAGTTGAAAGATTTGGTACTATAATCGGGGTTTGTCAATCCGTTTGTTACATATAAAAATATTGGTCGTAGGTTTACACTAAAGTCTTATTCGATTCTAATACGTCTTAAACATGTTTGTTCCGAGTCCGAGACTACTCCGTAAAGAACTAGGGCTGGTCCAAAACCAAACCAAATATAAAACCAGTATACATTGTCATGTCCTAGGTAAGGATCACTTAATACACGCATTCATTATCTCAGACTAATTCCAAAACAATACTACTCCACAAAGAACTAGGGTTTGCACCAGCCCTAATCCAAATATATTATAGAACCAGTCCTAGGTGATGACCCACACATTCATTACCTCAGTCTAATCCCATAACCACTCCTTAGCTAGAACTATGGCACTACTTACATAATCCACAACATGGCCCTATGTAGTACAGGAGTTTTTAAAAATATATATGGCCCATGCCTGCATTACAAAATATAATTTAAAGAATTATGTACTCAACTTTGCAGGGCAGTAGTTTTGGATTACCTAAATGGACACACCATATCCAATCTCTGCAAAAATTAGAAGAATATATGATCCATTTAGAAAATCTAAGAACTAATCCACTGTAAATATTATTGGCATACTATAGTAGTCCTATATAATGCAGGCCTGGACCATGTACTCCCATAATTTTAGCAAAGGAGTAGTTTTTAGAATATGTTTTTTTTCATACATACATATCTTTGGATTAGTTTTGGACAATACTAGTCCTTTGAGGAATACTGTTTACACACGTGTCGGAGGGTTTGGTACTGAAAATGGGCAAAATCTACATTTAGCCCTCATAGAAGATGAAGGTAACCTTATATTAGGGTCATTTTCTGTTTTATTCAAGCACTCTGGCGCTCTATAATATCTTAAAATTATCGATATTGTGATAAATTTCGATATCAGCATGTTTTATAACAACGCTAATCATGTTTCCATGTTCTGCATCTAATCCGATCTTTATTATACTTATACCTTGTGATTGTTATCATATGGTTGAGAAATCTCTTGATTTTATATTCTGAATAAATCTATGTACTATGTTAGAACACAATCTAGCCATTTTTATAAACTACACTACTATAGTGGGGAGGGTACTATATATGTATATTGGTCCTACACCTTTAAGTATACCAGTCCTCTTAGAATCATTTTCAGAGTCGATTAAGTCATGTCCGTCCCTTATAATCAAAGTACAGGTCGCAATTTTAAAGATAATACGATAAAAATTTGGTACACTTTTTTGGTCCAGAGACGATTAAGATTTTGGTTGTAATCGGTCCATTATATGTATGTTGTATGACATCTGTCAACCTTAAAATAAAGGCTTAACATCTGACATATCTTCTTTCTTATTCGAGATATCTTCATTTGGGTACTATGATCTCTGGGTTAAAAATTGATCGGCTGCACTATCGTCCAATGTTCAGACTAGACTATAGACTAGACTGTAGACTAGACTATAGACTAGACTATATACTAAACTATAGACTAGACTATAGACTAAACTATAGACTACACTATAGACTAGACTATAGACTAGACTATAGACTAGACTATAGACTAGACTATGGACTAGACTATAGACTAGACTATAGACTAGACTATAGACTAGACTATAGACTAGACTATAGACTAGACTATAGACTAGACTATAGACTAGACTATAGAGTAGACTATAGACTAGACTATAGACTAGACTATAGACTAGACTATAGACTAAACTATAGACTAGACTATAGACTAGACTATAGACTGGACTAGACTATAGACTAGACTATAGACTAGAGTATAGACTAGAGTATAGACTAGACTATATACTAGACTATAGACTCGACTATAGACTAGAGTATAGACTAGACTATAGACTAGACTATAGACTAGACTATAGACTAGACTATAGACTAGACTATAGACTAGACTATAGACTAGACTATAGACTAGACTATAGACTAGACTATAGACTAGACTATAGACTAGACTATAGACTAGACTATCGACTAGACTATAGACTAGACTATAGACTAGACTATAGACTAGACTATAGACTAGACTATCGACTAGACTATAGACTAGACTATAGACTAGACTATAGACTAGACTATAGACTAGACTATAGACTAGACTATAGACTAGACTATAGACTAGACTATAGACCAGACTATAGACTAGACTATAGACTAGACTATAGACTAGACTACAGACCAGACTATAGACTAGACTATAGACTAGACTACAGACCAGACTATAGACTAGACTATAGACTAGATTATAGACTAGACTATAGACTAGAGTATAGACTAGAGTATAGACTAGACTATAGACTAGACTATAGACTCGACTATAGACTCGACTATAGACTAGAGTATAGACTAGACTATAGACTAGAGTATAGACTAGACTATAGACTAGACTATAGACTAGACTATAGACTAGACTATAGACTAGACTATAGACTAGACTATAGACTAGACTACAGACTAGACTATAGACTAGACTATAGACTAGACTATAGACTCGACTATAGACTAGACTATAGACTAGACTATAGACTAGACTATAGACTAGACTATAGACTACACTATAGACTACACTATAGACTAGACTATAGACTAGACTATAGACTAGACTATAGACTACACTATAGACTACACTATAGACTAGACTATAGACTAGACTATAGACTAGACTATAGACTAGACTATAGACTAGACTATAGACTAGACTATAGACTAGACTATAGACTAGACTATAGACTAGACTATAGACTAGACTATAGACTAGACTATAGACTAGACTATAGACTAGACTATAGACTAGACTATAGACTAGACTATAGACTAGACTATAGACTAGACTAGACTATAGACTAGACTATAGACTAGACAATAGACTACACTATAGACTAGACAATAGACTAGACTATAGACTAGACTATAGACTACACTATAGACTAAACTATAGACTAGACTATAGACTAGACTATAGACTAGACTATAGACTAGACTATAGACTAGACTATAGACTAGACTATAGACTAGACTATAGACTAGACTATAGACTAGACTATAGACTAGACTATAGACTAGACTATAGACTAGACTATAGACTAGACTATGGACTAGACTATAGACTAGACTATAGACTAGACTATAGACTAGACTATAGACTAGACTATAGACTAGACTATAGACTAGACTATAGACTAGACTATAGACTAGACTGTAGACTAAACTATAAACTAAACTATAGACTAGACTATAAAGAAGATTATAGTCTAAACTGTAGACTAGACTATAGACTAGTCTTGATTGGTCTAAACTTAAATATTTTTAAGTTTGAAGAAGTACGAAATGTCGTGGAAGTACTTAAAAAAGTACTAATGAACTGAATTTTCCATGCCTGGGAGAAACAATGAATATGATGATCTTATGGAATCAATTAAACTTAATAGAATTGAGCTGTTCTTAATACATACATATTTCCAAATATCTAATTTCACAACCATCTTTTAAATGCACTCCTCCTAATTTTATGTGACAACATTTCACAAAATTCATATAAAAACTAATAAAACCCTTAATCAAAACTTAACTCTAAGTTTACTAATTTTCCTTTTCACTATCGTTTTGATTTTTACAGAATTTTATTATTTCCCTTATATTTGGTTACTTTTTGCATTATTTGCTTTTTAAATATTATAATTTATTAATTTAAGTTACATTTCCAAAATTTATCATTTTTACTATGGGAAAAAAGAAACGAAAACTAGAAACCAATTTTAGTAGGCAAAGAAGACAATTAAGGAGTTATGAGTAACATTGTAGTGATTCCTTCATTGTATTCGCTGCCTGCGTCACCCAGAA